CACAGAAACACAGGACTGAGTGGGATGACAGAAAGATGCAGAAGGAGCAACCAAACCAGGACCTGGTGTCCTTGCAGGGCACCTCCTCTCCCGTGGCCTCCTTCCCCTGGCCGCCCTCAATCAGCAGCTTTGCAAACGAGAGCAGATCCATGCACATGAGCAGGTTCTGGCTGAAAGCAGCTTGCTGGCATTGGGGAAAGCACAAGTCCATCAGGAACTGAAGCTGCTGAGTCCAAGAATGTTACTAGAACAAAGGCCTCAGGTGCCCAAAGGGGCTGCACAGGCAGCTCCCGCTGCTGGCTTTAAAAAAATCCAGATAAAATTAAAGCCTGAATCACTCTGTGCAGTTTCCTTAGCAATTTCAGCACCACCCTGCTCTCTTCTTGCAAGGCTGATTTCCACCCCTACTGCAATCAGAGTTTGTTGCAACCCACAACACCGGGTGAGCATCTGCAAGAGCCGGGGTTTAGGTTGCCGGTCACTGCCCGCCCGCAGGACATGCAGACGGACCCTATCCCTGCTGCGGTGCCGGGAGCTGCTTGGCCTGGAAACACACACACGCCTCCGGAGCCAGGGAACTGCAAGGCCCGGGGTCGGCCCATCGCAGCAAAGGCATCTGAGCTATTTTACACCCACAGAGCTGGCTGTGGCCTTTGCTGGGGTGGTTGGTGAATGCCAGGCTTGTCTGGGGGGTCCCTGTCCCCAGCCGGGCAAACCAGGCAGGAATCAGCAAGTGGAAGAGACCAAAACACGAGATAATAAAAGCCCCACAGTCTCCCAGACTGGTAAAAACCCATCAGCGAAACCACCATGTTAGAGGGAACAGAGCCATCAGCATCCCAAGAAAAAGAAATAAAAGCATTTCCTTTTCTCGGCATGGTTCCCAGGAAAAGAAAATGCACTGAGATTAATCAAGACCTCTGCAAACATGTATTGTAGTTGTAGGTGACTTTGTATGAGTCTGTTTTTTCCAGCAGTGATCAGTTGTGCGTTTCAGGCCATATGGCACCGTCTTTCCAGAAGGAAAGCATTTTGTCTTCAAATCTGCAAACTAGAAAATCTGTTGCATCCTGATGGAAATGCAGCCCTGCCAGTTATTCACAGAAGCAGAATCATTAAAAGAAAGAAACAAAATAAAACTGAGAGAAGCTTAATCAGACATCCAATTTCTACTGAGATGCTGGAATGGAAGCCCTCACAGGTACCTTTCCAAATGGTCTTTTGTTTCTTAATCCAACCTAAAGAGCTATGATTTTTGTGGGAAACATGGCTCTAAATACCTCACTCCCCCTTATGCAGGAGCAGATATGTTGGAAGGGATGTTCCCCAGGTAGAAAAGCACTTGAAATCCACTGAAGTCAATGGACATGGTACCAGAGATGACAGCGTGCTTTGTATTAGCAAGAGTGTCATCCCGTTCCCGGGGATCACGGGTGGGAAATGTGAGCTCCCTGCTCTGCTGCGGAACCAGCGTGGCCAAGACACCCCTCAGAGCACACCCAGAGCAGGAGGCGGTGCCACTCGTGCTTTCCTGGAGCAGGCAGCCTGCTCCCCCCTCACAGCATGGCCTCATCCACAGCCGTTCCAGGTTTGGTTCCAGCAGCTGGAACAAGAACAGCAGTTTACTGGAAGCAGCAACACCTTGCAATGCTCTCCAGGTCTGCTTAGAGCAGGGAGAGATGAAAAATGGGCAATACAGCAAGCACTGCTCTCACCAGCCTAGTTTTCTGCTTTAGTTTTAGTGCTGATAGAGCTAGATCTACAAAAGTGGCAGTAAATGGGAAGGTATTTTGATTGCTGCCACAAAGGGCCATTAATCCCTGGCAAAGGTGGGCAACTCTGCAGCACCCATGTGAAACCAGGTGGGTTTCACTCAGCATCAGTGTTACACCCATTTGTGAGGACTCTATGGCCCTGAAACGGGTGGGCAAAGGGGAGAAAGCTTTAAATGTAATCTGCTAAGAAGAAAAAGAGCTTAGTACATTTAAACTCATTTTATGACATTTCTTTTAAACACACAGTGAAGTGAGTGCTGAAGAATTATAAGCATACCAGAACTAATGGCATGATGAGACTGCAAGGTCAACGCAATCTTAACTGGCTTTTCTGGGGGATCCTTCTACAGTCGCTGTTTTGTCCAAGGGAAGGATGAAGCCCGACTGCATTTTAAAATAATTTTCACTAGGAAATTGTTTCCAAGAAGCTTAAGTTGTGACCTAATGTTCTTAAAACAAAAAAAAGGAATAAAAAAAGTTCCTGTCATTGAACTTGTTGCTCTTTTCTTTGGAATAGAGCTACAATTGTTACCTTTGAAATAAAAGTAAGGCATCATTCTTACTAGCCTACTTACCTTCTCTGGACAGAAAAGCACAAATGCAAAGCTATTTGTAGTTTTGCTTGTCCTTCAGATTTCCAGGAAATCTCTTCTGTTGTTCAGGAACATCATTTTTTTTTTCCTATCTCAATAGTTTTTTATTGTTAAAAATATGAGTTCTGATCATCATCAATAATCTCCTTTCTACACTAGCTACCAATTGCTTAAATTGCATTCCTGGTGAGACTGCACCTGGAACATCGTGTCCATTTTTGGGTCCCTCCCTACAAGAAGGACATTGAGGTGTTGGACTGTGTCTAGAGGAGGGACAAGTGAAGGGGCTGGAATAGAGCTCTGACAAGGAGCGGCTTGCGGGAGCCGGGGTTATTTAGTCTGGAGAAGAGGCTGAGGGGAGACCACATTGCTTTCTACAACTACCTGGAAGGAGGTTGTAATGAGGCATTATCTCCAAAATAATTACCAAGAGGACAAGAGGAAATGCCCTCAAGTTGCACCAGGATAGGTTCAGGTTGGATATTAAGAAAATTTTCTAAACGGAAAGAGGAGTCCAGCATTGGACCAGGCTGTGCAGGGAAGCGGTGGAGTCCCTGTCCCTGGCAGGGTTCAAGAAAATGTAGATGAGGTGCTGGGGACACAGCTTAGCAGCCACGGTGGGAGTGGGTTTACAGTTGGACTTTAAGGTCTTTTCCAACCATAATGATTCTATCAGACATGCTGGCTTGCGGCAATGTTCCTTCTGTAAATAGATGCAAGGATCAAGGCTAAGTTCTCCAGTTAATTCTAATGGGAACAAAGCGGGGAATGTGGGAGCAAGGTCCTCTGAGGGCCACCACACAAAGCTCTGCTGACCTGGAGACTCTCTGGGGACAGAGCCCAAGCAGCAGAGCACCAACGCTACCACAGGAATGATGCCAGGCCAAAATAAGGTTACAGGAGAGATTAAGCCCCTTCTCTTACTGATTTCTATTCCTGCATTAAAAGCTTACACAGACCTTCATTCCAACAGTCAAGACCTGCTCCAGCTTCGCGCTCTCCCCTCTGCAGGCGGCGGTTCCCCCAGCGGCAGCGCATGCGACCCTGTGAGCTGGATCATGCCTTGGAGCCGCTCACATCCTTCCAGCTCCCGGAGCCTGTCAGCAGGTGGTGCTTCCCGGCAGCCTTTGGAGAGATTCACACACAGGATTCACACACGGAGCTTCGGGGCAGCCTTCGCGGAGGGATTCACGCACAGAGCTTCGGGTGGGATTCGCGGTGCTCCCGGTGCCGCATGCAGCAGGGCAGCTCATTGACCCCGAGCAGCGACGTGAAGGAATCTGTAAGCTCCACAAGCTGCCTACCCTGAGCCTCAGCTCAACTTCTCCGGAGCTCACGTTTATTCCAAGCTTCCTCCTCACTATGGGAAGAGCAGTTATGAATTAGAACTTTCCTTTGGTTTATACACTGCTCTTATTGTAAAGAAGCACAAACATAAATAAAAACACGCTTTTTTCACCGAAATAAAAGTTCCATCTGATGAAGTAAAATCATTTTAAATTGAAAGGTTTTAAATAATGGTCTGTATTTTCACAGAGATAAAACTGAGAGCCTTCCAGCACCTTGTTCTTCCAAACAACTCCAGCACTGCAGGGACTCGTCCCGAGGGCAGGTCAGGAAGACTCTGAGACCCCAGGCTCTTGTACTGTTTGATGGCCAGTTTTCCTACCACTTCTCAGCTGCATTAGAAGATTTTACTCAAGATCAACTGACAGCCCGCACTAGCTTTGAACTCATCTTACAGCTCCTCTGGAAATACCATCTTGTCCGGATGGAAATACCATCTACCTCCCAGGCAGGAAACAAGAGCCTCTGCCAAGCCCCCATTCCCAACTACGGTCTCACAGCCCATGGTCCCAACAGAAAAGGGGGAGCGTTGCCGAGGTGGGATGAAAGGTACCTGTGGATCCCAGCCTGGATGATGAACCACCTTCAAGGGCTGGTGAAAAGTGCAAAATTCTCAGCACAGCATCCCTGTCCGGGCAGCCCTTCTTACTTTTGCAGGCAGCAGGGAGGGGATGAGGAGCTCTGTGCCATTCGGTGCCCGAGCTGCCCAGCTGCCACTGGTTCCGTCAGCAGAAATCCTATGGGAGGACTCCAGGCCCATGTGGAGTAGAGCACTTCTTTTGGGGGCACGCCAGCAAGGTTCTGGAACCCATTTGGTGCCCACCATTCCTCCCACAACTGGTCCACAACTGGACCTCAGCCTCTGTGAGCAGCGTCTCTGGTGTCTAGCTCAGCAGTCGCAACGTGCTCACCCCACACTGCAGAAATGTTATTTCTTTTACTTTATAATAACCTGAATAACATAGGTGGCATCAACTATGTTAGGAAAAACATACCTCTAAAACATGAAACCACTTGTCTAATTACTAAGATTCAAGAGACACAACTATTACTGAAAACGGTCTGGATTATTCCACCAACACCACTGGTGGCTTCTTTTATAAGGTGAAGTGAATCCCACGTGGCCCTAATACTCAGGAGCATGGAACCATGAAATTTGATTTCTTTCTTCTGAAGATATGGGAGATTATTTTAATAATTCTTATCCAGTATTACCAAAAAAAAATAAAGTCTTGTTCATTAGTTTTATATAAAATATTTTAATATGTTTCAGCAATAAAATCTCTGTTTTCTATAAATGTATTAATCTCGCCCAAGGATTTAATTTAAACAGTAAAATGAAGTAGAATAAAAATATGCAGTGGCAAGTGAACACTCTTTTCAAACAGAAATTTGCTCAGAACTATCTGCAGTCTATTCAATCAGATTAGACCTGAGCAATAATTCAAGTCCCAATTTTACCCATCACCATGAAGTGGAAAACTCTTATACCCAACTCCTCAATCTCTCTATGAACAGAGAGATTCATATGGGAAAGGAGCAAATAAAGCAGCAGCAAACAGCACTGTTAAAGAGAGAACACTAATTAGAGGACTCCAAGTAGATCTTCAGATTGCCTGTTGAAAATCTATTTACAAAGGGCTATCTAATAGGTAAAATAATTAATACCAAGTTCAGGCAAAAGAAAAGCTTCATTTGCATGGGAAGGGAACACTGCTGCCTCTGCTCATTCACAGTAAAATTTATAAAGACTCCTCACAGATCTTAAAGACACACCCAGACTTGAGTGGAAACCTGCTGCACATCACTGCACTACTTCGATAAAACAAGGGCCCCACCTGGTATCTTCTGGAATTAAATATTTCCCAGCTGTCTAACTTCTGGTCTACCCTGGTTTTTCTTTTAATGCAATATATTTGTCTTTTAGAAGAAGAAGATTGTCTTTTGTGGTGCAGGATCCATTTATATCTACAATTTATTCAGTACACAAATAAATACTGTTCTCTTTTGACCCCAATTTTACCACTGGAAAGAACATAAAGCAGCTCAGACAAAACGCTCTACATGCAGAAATGAAAAAATGCACCACGAAAAAAATCCTAGTTAAATGATGAAATTAAGTTAAATAAACACTGCTGGCATTGTAAATAAGAGCAGGATCGTTATATTATTGGTGTCTAGAATGAGTAACAAACTCCAAGCAATGAAGAAGGTCAAGAGATTGGGGGAAAAAAAACACTGCACCCACGTATTTAGTGCATCAGGGTAAGAAGGGTGTCTTCCTAAAGACTGGGATCACTACTAGTATTTAATTAAAAACAATTTGCAAGTACCACACCACTTTTAGTTCCAACTGACAAGTAACTGCTCCAAGCACACTTCAATATTCAAATACTACTACTCTGAAGTTTGAGATCTATGTGAAGATTTCTTTAAATAAAACCTTACTTTTCGTATAGAGACATGGGTTATTTTGTTAAAGAGCACTGCAAGCACTAACAGTTTTCTTATGCGCAAAATAATCTTATTGATCTTTAAGACCAACACAGATAAATTAAGAAAAGGTGTGAAATACTTCAATTTCAGCAGTTTTGCTCATTCCAAATATCTTACTTTTGAGAAGAGAATTGTGAAAAAATAGAAACAGTTTCTTCAGGAAACACCTCCTATTCCTCAATGAGCAGAATGTACAATATGTACTACATAATGGTTATGCTTTTCACAAAAGAGATGTTTTTTGGTCTTCATTATAGCTTCTCAGGTTTTGCTTCTGGTTTCTCATCTATCAGGTCTTTAAATCCCAGTTTTTCCAGTGGTTCGTTAGCCATAAGTTGCCTGAGGTAAAAACAACAAAAAAAATATGCATTTTACAGATCACAGTCCACGCCAAAGGGCACAGAAGCCTTTTCCAATTCACTTACTACTTACTGTGAAGTGCAAAGCCACCAAATAGAACAACTGCTACTTGGTAAAAGCTCAAAAACTTTGGAAAAGCTCCATTTGGGGCATTTTTTCCTCCCACCAAGGGGCTGATTCTTTGTTTAATTACCGGAGTGTGCAAGAGCTTCCAAAAAGCCCGTGTCACACAGCACCTGCGCGAGGGAACAGGGCTGACAGCACCAACTGCGCTGCTTTACTTCCCTAAGCCGCTTCCAAACGCCTCTGGATCTTCCCATCCATCACAGGTAGCTGCACCTCCCAGCATTTCCATAGGGAATTCCCAGAGGGCCCGCGGAAGCGGCGCTGCCCGGCCACTCGCCTCTCCATGCGGCACTGCAGGTAGGCCATGGCGCGGGGGCGGCACGCGCTGCTCTCGGAGCCGCTCTCGCGCAGACACTCCAGGAACTGCTCCTTGAAGGCGGCGCATTCCCCTGTGGGGAGACACGGGAGCTCAACGGCCGCGCCGCCATGACGGCACAGCAGGGCGGGGAGCGAGGGCGGAGGGAAAGGGGCCCGGGCGCCGCCGTTACCGCCGCACCGAAGTGATCCAGCGGGAAGGCGCCCTTGTCCGGCGGCCGCGCCTTGAAGCTCTTGGTGCTGAAGTTCATGGCCGTGGACATGATGGCGGCGCTTCCTCCTCCTCCTCCTCCTCACGGCTGCACCCCGGCCCCGCCCACCCCGCGGCCACGTGACCGCCCGCGCGCCGGGAGGGGCGGGGCCTGCGGAAACGGCGCCGCTGTCGCCACGGCAACCGGCCGCGCGGAGCCTCCGCTAGGGGGCGTGGCGTCTCCACGGCAACAGGCCGCGGCGGGGGGCAAGAGTGACGTCACTGTCCCCGCGCTCACCTCACCGGCGCGGGGTCACCATGGAAACCCCCACCTGGGCTGCCATGTTGGCGCTCCCCGCAGACCCCCCCCCCCCCGGGGTCTTTCCCGCCTCTTGGAAACACCAAATCCTGTCGGGAAGAGCAGGCAGGTGCTGGGCTGCATTCCCTATGTCCCCTGCAGCCCAAGCTTCAGCTAATCTCCATGAAATAAAACATTTTCTTCTTGCAAACCCGCTGGTTATTTCCCTAGCAGGCCTCCAGAGTCTCCTAGGCCAGATCCAGAGGACATGGGCAATTTACAAGGAGAATCTGCTTTCAGAGGGGAAAGAAAATGGAAACTGGTCTTTGCTCACAAGTTGACTGCTAAAATGTGTTTGTTTGGGTGTCTTGGTGAAGGGAAAACCTGCAAAAATCAGAGACCAGTGTCAGCAAATAAATTTATGTAGGAACCAACATCATCCAAATTCTCCCCTTTCTTCCCAAATAGCCACCTTCATCAGGAGACCTGGATGAGCCTGGGGCTCCTCAAGGGGGTTTATTTAACCCACTGTTTTCACCATGTGTCCCGCTGCTACCATCTTTCTCCTTTGCCCCAAGCTGCAATTGGCTTAAGGACGTTTTTCATCTCAAGTTGATTTTATTTTAATTAAATAAGTATAAAGAGTTCCAGGCTGGGGAATAATAAAAATCTGCAGTCATTGAGGACAGACATTATAAAAATATTACCTGAAGCCTTACTTAAAGTGCTTTTTTTGTGTCTGTGCTTTGATTGCTTTCTTATACTGTCTTTAAAATTGTAAATGGAAAATTACCCTATGTTCTATTGCATAAGGTTTACACAGCCTGAAACACAAGTTTATTATTATTATGTTTTTGGTGCTCTGAACAATAGACGTTTTTAGTAGATGGTAAATAGCACTTTTCCACTCGACTTAACTATAATACTGGACAGTAGAAGGGAGCGTGTCCTCTTTTGTAGGGAGCAGAACGTCTGCCAGATCTCCGGGGACGTGGCAGCGCCAAAGCCGCTTCGCTTGGTCTGAAAAACTGCAGCTGAAGTATCAAAACAACCAACTTTGGTGCTTTTCCTGAATTATGCCTCTTCATTCCTGGTGCCAGGGTTGACCTGCTAACTTCCCGGGTGCTGCAGGGAGATACGCAGGGATCCCAGGTTGGGATTATTCCCAAACAGGCCAACTTGGTCCTGTGCAAGGACTGTATCAACTTGCTGTCTTCTGTTACACCCAGTTGTTTTGATAACCTACTGATTAGCTGGGCATCTTACACTGGAATCTGAAGTTTTGTGGTTGCCCCAATTCACCTCAGGTAGGGTAGCAGGTATTTCGTTATGTTTATTTAATGTTCTTAATGCGAGTATCAGTTGTATCTTCTAGAGTTTCCTGTAAAGGCACAGTTTGTCTTAAAAGCTAATACATGTGCTTAGCAGTTTAGTATGTATTTTTCCCAAGGAGATCAAATGAAAATCTCTATTAGATAATCAGTGCTAAAAAGAATCTCATTTGCAGGTTAAGCTGACTAGTTCCAAAAGAATTCAGCAAGAACAGTGGCACAAAGAAATTAATGCTTTTCACTTGTTTTCTTCCAAAGATATGAGACTCTCAGTGCATAACAAAAATCTGCATTGTACAAGGTACAAATGTACTGTCAGGTGGGTTTTTAACATGCTTAGCATTGCTTTTAAAAATGCCAAAATGAAGTATGATATGAGACCAGAAATCAGAATCCACTTCCTTTGCTGTGAGCAGGGTAGAGTTCGGGGCTCTCATTATTTTCTCTCTCTCTCTCACTACACCACATCTTAAGAGCAAATTATCAGGTAGGTAATTTGAAAATAATTTCTCAGCAAGCTATGAAAGGCTTTGACTGAGCACAGTTCTTGGGGATTTTGCAGCCTGGCTTGGGATAGCTGTAAGAAATGAATCAGCTGAACAAGACCAAGCACATTCAAACGCTGGAATTTGTGCCCTTGAGACTGCTGTTCCCAGGTAAGGTGCAGAACACACCTCAGAGAAACATCCCTCCGGGATCACTCATTCAGCCTCACCCTTGCGCTGCGAGCACCCAGCCAGCTCTTACATAAGGTGTCTTGCTCCATCACTGCCAGGGGCTCCTGTAAACCATTTTTCTCCCCTTCAATTCAGGTTCCTAGACAAGCAAAAATGCAGAATATTGCCAGAAGAGTCTGGGGAATGGAGATTTCTGCTGTGGATGATTAATGAAATACTAGTGTTTTGCACTTAGAGGGAAATCATAATTTCATACCAGTAAGGTTAAGGCCTTAATATGCTATGAGCGCTACAAAGCTGTACAGAATGGTAGTTAATTTCTGTTATGATTCAACCAAAGCCTCATCAGGATAAAGAGGAGCACACTAGAAATAGTCACACTCTGCTGAAAGTCGAAGCCATCTCTTTTATTGCTTTGCTAGCTGCAGCTCTGGAATAACTAAAGCCACCTCTTATCTGCACCACCAATCTCCCAGACCGGGCTGGTTTGGCTTCTTGACATTAGGTCTGAAACCCATATGTTTGCATTAAAAATATTTTTCAATAATATTAAAAAAAAAAAAAAAGCCCCAAACCTTTTCATTCCACAGCAGTTGTACAACACATACCAATTTCACAGATAAATAAGTTATTTGTTGTATCAAAATTAACACAGACAACACTTAAGATATTGATCACTATCCTGTGGTAGATCCTATAAAAACACTGAGCTGCAGGACTGGGAAAGAAGTAGGTGGAATCCCATAAAACACTGCAATAATTATGAAAAATGCAGAGAGGTCAAAGTCTGAGAGCTATTGATTTCCTTTTGTACCAGCATTTGTCAAGGTGAGGAAAATCCATTGGCAAAGAGCAGCCCGAGTTTTAACACATGAGAGTCTTTTAAAAATGTTAATGTTTAATAGGGTGTTCTCATGCTTTATATATCCCTGATAACAATGCATGGGCTGATAGGCATCTCTGGAGGTTGTAATTCAGGCATACAAGCACTTGGTGTTCACTCGCGTGGTTTATTATGTTATCAGAACTCATTGACTGAATTATGGCCTTATAATAGCTCTCTCTGTCTGCATTATCCCACTGTAACCATAGCATTATTAACCTACCTCCCATTAGAAGATTATGTGTCCTTCTCCAGATGAGCACACAGAAGGCAAATAACTCTGTCTCTTTAATGTACAGGCTCATTTTCCAGCAGAAACTGATTATTTCCCTGAGTTATGCCCACCAAGTGAAGTCTGGCTGCCTGCAGATGATTTTGGTTCTGGCTTGTGGTAGCAGAAAGACAAAGATATATGTGTGAGCAAGGAACAAAGTTTGCTGCCCGGTCCTGCGTGGGGTGTCTCACCCATGAGGCAGTGTTGCAGATGTGCAGCACCTCAAATCCTGTGCTCAGGACCGCACACTGGAAGCCAAGGCTGGCAATGAAGAAATTGAGGTGATAAAATAGCATTTGTGGTATTTAAAACCCGCAGTGATTTTTCCTCCCTCTTACTACTGCTGCTTATAAGCTCTCAGGAAGCACAATGATCACATCTTTATCTCAGTGAGGAGCCTGGCAGAACGGGATATTCTTGGAAATGCCTTGGAGAAGAGGAGTCAATCCAGAACTTGCACAATTTCGAGCACATCTTGAGGAGGACGTGCTCATGCACAGATCTCTTTTCCTTGCCCACTCTACCTAGTCCTCTTCTGCCCAGGCCAATTCCTTCTTGTGATAAAATCCCTTCTACCCCAATAATAAACCTTGGAGAAGAGGCAAACACCTTTTCCATGGCAGTCTTGTCAGAGTTTATTGATCTTCCCTGCCTTCAGCTAATGCACTTTTATTATTATTAATAATCTTTTTTTTTTTTTTTTTTTTTTTTAATCAGTAGAGCTTACACCCAGGAGAGGATTTTACTGGGGTGGCAGAAAAGCAGTGATAAGAATTGCTGCTGCCTGTAAATAGACAAACTCCCTTCTGCAAGCCTGAATTAGAACAGATTTGTGCCTTTGCTGCAGGTCCTCCCTGGTCAGCCTTGTCTGCCTTGGGCTCAACCTGCCCCCAGGCCAAGCAATACTGAGGGCTTTCCCTCCTGCTTCCTGATTTTTCCATTGCATTCCCAGTTTCCTATGGCCTACTACTATGGGCAACTAGGGGGGCAAATCCCACACAGGTTCTGTTGCTTAATTCTGCCCCTGAGATCGCTGAGAGCACAACCGGTCCACAACAAAGGTTTTCACTGGAAAGCAAACACCTCGTCGCAGTGTTGTGGATGAAACAGGAGCTCCAGATTAAGATAATCCATGGTTCTGAATGCTTTTCTTCCAGAAAAACAAAAAAGAAAAAGATCTAAATGTGAGTAAACAAAGACCTGGGAGCCCTTTTCTCTATGCAAAGCTGCTTCCCCAGAAGGTGGGTTCAAGCAAGGGAAGAAGGGCTATAAAGGAAGCTCCAAGGTGTTCGTACCTCATTTTGATGCAGCCATGGCCATAAGGAGCCTGCTGCAGTACGTGGGCTTTAGCTCACTGCTCTATTTGGCAGCAGGGCTGGTAGCTCTCGTTTACTTTCTTGCCAGCAGGAAGAGATCAGTTTGCAATCTGCCTCCTGGGCCACGACCTCTTCCTCTGATCGGGAACCTGAATGTGGTGGACTTGAAAAAGCCGTTCCAGTCGCTGACAGAGGTAGGTCCTGAGTGGGCAGGAGGAAAACAGGCTGCGTGCAGCGCCTGATGTGAGAAACGCTACAGGGTGATGGAGATGGGACCGTGTTTGCACTGGGTGCAAGGCTGAAACGAGCTACTTGCATTACAGACAAACTGGCAGACACCCTACCTACATGTATATGTCTATATGTACTGCTTCCTTTCTACACAGGCCCCCTTGCAGCCAGGTCCACACTCCTGGTACCTCGAGCTCAGGGCTCAGACTCTGCAAGCAGAAGGCACGAACTGGACCAGTCTGCTGAAGGATGGGGACCATTTGCTATCAACAACCCTGTCATGACAGACATCCCCCACAGGAGCAGGGAAGGAGGGCAGGGAAGAAGGTTGCCATTCCCCCAGCAGAGGAAACTGGCTTTTATTTCCAAAACTGGTTACGTCACTGCGTTGCAAAGCTCAGCTCTCCTCCTCTCTCGCCCCTTGCACACACGTTGGCCAGGGTTATTTAGGACTTGGTGCATGGGTAATAGGGTAGCTTTTGTACCTTTGGGTAAACAAATTCCTTTTTTTTAAGCAGCTCCATGGATACCTTTATTTCTAAAGAGGAAAAAAAAAGACGTAAATATTTTAAAGGCAGCTGTGATGTTTGTTTCAGAAAGTGGCTGCTATGTTCCCATAGGGACGTGAGGACAATTCAACATGAATGCTGATTTTTTTTGGGTGGCTGTGGAGACACATGAGGGGCTGTGGCTGCTCTGCCATGTTCCCCAGGTGTGTGCTTGCCAGGCTCAACAACAGCAGAGGGTCCCCAGTGACCCCCTCAGCACCACAGCAGGGTGGCAGGTGACGCTCCCGTTAGTCAGAGGCTCATCCTGGGCTGCAAATATTCCCACTTCCTATAGCAGCCACACAGCGTCCGTCTGTCCGGACTTTGGGAGCCACCAGGCTTGTGCAGAGCACAACTTCCTTGGTCTTGCAGTCCTGAGCTCCCATTTGATCATGTCTGTTTGAGGAGGGGCTTAAGGAAGGGCAACTATCTGGGGGGATTTTATGATACATATGTCATTTGTAGGCACCAGATTCATTTCCTATAGGCTGCCAAGCAACTTTCTTGAGGCTTTCAGGTCTGCCACATCCAATATTCATGTTGCTGAGAAAAGCCAGGGCGGATGCCAAGATCCACTAATGCAAAGAAATGACCAAATGAAGAGTGAGACTCAGATATGTTTAACTATCCCTGGATCTGCCTGGCACCCTGTGATCTGCCAGAGAGGAAGAAACCAGTGTTAATGTTATCTCCCAAGCTGTCAAACCACCATTTGATGAAAACAAATTTAATTTGTCCTCTGTAATAACAGGAGCTGCTTCTAATCTGAAATTCAATTTTCTGTATGTATCTAATGCATAGCAAATGGTAACCCAGGCACATCGGAAACAAGACATTTGGAGCGGATGGCTCACAGTATGTTTAAATGAAGCCTAAACTACCGAGAGAATGATTAGATTGTCAAAGCCACCCTTCTCTGTAACAGATGATTCATACTTAATTTGCTGTAAAAGCCTTGAGCTCCTATGACATTATCTACAAGAATATGCTTCCTGATCGGATTCAAATTTCTGGTGGCCAGCAAATAACTTTGCTATGACTGCAACACTACCCACCTTGCAATAACTTGAGACAAGTGCTGTCCTGAAAGAAAGTTATTGTAGCTTTGTTCTTGCAGTGTTTGCGGCTTCAGCCCCAAAGGGGTGTGCACACCCCCTTGCCTCAGGTCAATGGTATTAAAATAAACAGGCCCTCACACTGGGCCTGCCTGCTATGGCATTTTTCTAACGAGCTTCCAAATGGTAGTTTCGCTGTTTTGGCCTGTTACTGCAAAGAACCGTAGGAATGCAGTGACATTTTATCAGCTGCTCATCTCATAGGAGCAATGATAGCAGACACCTTGTTGTGCAAACAGGGTGCAAGCAGAGATGATGGCTGGCGATAGCTGAACTTTATTATTTGCACTACAGCAGCTCCTGGAGATTTCAGGCAGGGCTGGAAGGTCATGCTAGAAACCAGCTAGGGTAGCTAATGTTACCCTATGGCTCCAAATCAGGTTTTGAATGACCATATTTATTTACCTTTGAAGCTCTCCAAGATATATGGCAACATCTTCACTGTGCATTTTGGACCCAGGAAAGTTGTGGTACTGGCTGGATACGAAACCGTCAAGGACGCCCTTTTAAATCATTCTGAAGAATTTGGAGAAAGAGCAGAAATACCTATATTTAGGAAAATAGCACAAGGAAATGGTAAGCTTTTTGTTGGCTACTTTTTTTTTTCAGTTTACTGATTTCATTCCCTTGGCAGGGAATATTGTCCTCTTACAGCTTGCTTTTTGTCTGTGTAACAGTGCATTAAGTAGCTTTTGTATCAGTGCTTAAGTAAGCCTTAGAAATTGCAAATAACACAAGGATTTTATACCTTTATTTCAGGCCTAGGATTCAGCCATGGTGAGATATGGAAAACTATGAGAAGATTCACCTTGACCACACTGCGAGATTTTGGAATGGGAAAAAGAACAATTGAGAATAGAATTCTTGAGGAAGTAACTTCCCTCATTAAATATTTTGAATCTTATCAGGGTGAGTGTCAAGAATTTCATCTAGAGACAAATCATCTATCTAGCTGAACAACAAAGACAAAGGAATGTGCAACTTTGAGCAAATGGTATCTCATGCTGGAAGTTCAGAAAATATTTAAGTGAGTTTTTTAAACTGAGGCCTTAAAACAATGAAACCGAGTTCCCCATGGTGCAGTCTGTGTAGTGAATGAGGCTTTTCTTTGGGAACTAATGAGTACATTTCCAAAGGAAACCTAATGTAGTCAATATGTCTTTTCTCATTTATTCCGTGTGATCTTTTCCAGAGTGTTACTCCACGATATCCAAAGCCAGTCAGTGACCCCAGAGAAACCCAAATCTAGCCATACTCCCACCAACAGGACACTTGCTTGTTGCGGGGCATAATCACATCCTCATTTGTTTTCTCTGCTTGAAATACAGGGAAGCCTTTTGATACAAAGATGATACTCAACAGTGCTGTATCCAACGTCATCTGCTCTATATTGTTTGGAGAGAGGTTTGAATATGATGATCCGGTATTTCTAACTTTGCTGAAGCTGTTAAATGAAAATACCAAGCTGTTGGGTTCCCCTATGGTACTGGTAAGGCCTTGGGTTTAGGTTTTAGCATTTTCTGGGATATCTAGTTGCCCACGTTTGTTTTCCTGACCTCCCACATTTGCTTATCAAGGTGAGATTGAGGAAAACATTAACAGACAGCTGGGCGGCACTAGGTATGTCTGAGGTTCTATATTTGATTCCAAGATTAACAGCATGTTATTGCTCCACAGCTTTATAATTTCTACCCATCCCTTGGATTTCTCTTTGGCGCTCCCAAGACTGTGCAACAAAATGTCGATGAGTTGTCTGCTTTTCTCCAGAAGCTCTTTCAGGAGCACAAAGATGAGCTTAATGAAAATAACTTAACAGGCTTTGTTGATGCCTTTCTTATGAAGCAACAACAGGTACTTTAAAGCTAAGTCTCAGAGTCTTTCTGTTCTCTTAGCTCTGACATACTGTTAAGACTGACCATCTGTCAGGGACTGGAAGTGAATGAAAACACAAAAACCACAGTTTATAGAATATTTTAAAGCTAATACTCAAAGTGAGCAGTGCTGTACCTGCTCCATAGTTCCCCTGAAACTGCTGATTAAAGGGATATAGTTGTTGATGTCCCATGTGGGTGAAATCTCATCACGCAAGGGGGGGTGTCATCCCAAACCTTCCTGCAAGAATGGTACAGTGATTAACTTCATTGCAGTAACTGATTTCCCACTTACGTAATACTTGGATTTAGGGACTGTACACACATTGAAGACTGGACAAATTCCATATATGCCATGTACTATAGGCCCAAATCCTAAAATGTTTAGATCCCTGTAGCTTATAAAGCCACAAAAAGCTAAAATGCAGATAGAAATGATGGCAACACATTTATTTACTTGTATCATTTGCTATAGAGCTAAAGTAATAAAGAACATTATCTTTATGCTTTGAAGGAGTCAAAGAAATCCAACACTTACTTCCACAATGGCAATCTGCTCTTTTCAACCTTGGACCTCTTTGCTGCTGGGACTGAGACTACTTCTACAACCGTGCGCTGGGGTCTTCTTCTTATGATGAAATACCCAGAAATTCAGAGTAAGGCCAGGAAGACTTCTTGTACAGTATTCTGTTGCACACTTAAGGCTTTAATTAGAGAAAGGAGAGAAGGGGACTCATTCAGTGTTGTCTAGAGTAATTATTTTAAGAACTGTGAGAAGGTAACAGCCACTGACTTACAGAGAGATTTTACTTAGTTGTTTGCAAAGAAACAGCACAGCCAAGTGGGAGAGGCTACAGGCCAGCCTTGGGCAGCTGCAATAAAGCTTCCCCATCACTCTTCTCCTGCAGGTTATCAGCTTTCATCACTGTAATGAACCTTCGTCACTCTCCTGTCTTCTCGAGGACAGATTTTGATCTGGTTGCTTTTGAAGGCTGTGGCAGATCAGAATCAGGCATGGCATGGCCTGTGGCAACTCCATTCATGCTCCCTTGCCTCTACAGAAAGAGGAAAGATAAGGAAAGAATCATGTCACCAGTGACTTACCTGCCCGTGTTTCTGCTCTTGCCCAATACTCCTCACTATTTTCCATTTTATTGATCTTGACTAGGTCAAAAGCCATTTTCATTGCAACATAAGAGGGAATTAAACTTTCTTCATCCTTTCTTCCTCACAAGGAAAAATTCAGGAAGAAATGAAGCACGTCATTGAACCAGGACAGCTACCTAAGTTGGAGGACCGGAAAAAAATGCCATATACAGATGCAGTGATACACGAAATACAGAGATTTGCCAATATAGTCCCAATGAGCGTATCACGATCAACTCCTACTGATGTGGATTTCCAAGGTTATGTGATTCCTAAGGTGAGTTTGGAGGTTGTCAGCTTACATTGTGCAGAATCCTTATAGATTCTTTTAAAGCAAGCAAGAAAAATCTAAAAATGCCCTGATGTTTGGTTTAATCTATGATGTGATTTTTGGTCTTGGATCCAAGAGGGCTGTTACAACTATGGACTGCATTGAGCTCTTCGTTACAGCGCTTTGAATCCAGACTAACCAGAGACTTTAATTAAATCACTAGTTTGAACCTCTTTTGCCAAATGTGGAACATCTAATTCAGCTTCTTGCTTGAAAGGTGTTTCTGAATATGTAAGAAGGGAACAGCCCAAAAGAGAGCAGCAACTACTGCTAAGAGGTGAGGCATGGCAGGAAGCATCTGCTAGTTCTGCTTGCCAGGCTCAGTCTTACCTCTTCACTAGAAAGAAAACAAAACAGCAAAACAGAAACAAAATAAGCAAAAAAACTCACCCAAAATAGTCTAACTGGATTGTGAAAGCGATCTGTTCCTATTAACTACCATGAGTTTCTTTGGTCCCTTTCAGGGCACAGAGGTTATTCCATTGCTGACTTCTGTTCTGAATGATGAGCTTCACTGGAAAACCCCTGATCAGTTTAACCCTTCTCACTTCCTGGATGCCGCTGGGAACTTCATTAGGAGAGAGGCATTTATTCCATTTTCCATAGGTGAGAGGAGTATTTTGTGCACCACCTGCACTTAGGCTAATGGCTTCGACTAATTGCACAGCTCCCCAGTGAATCCAGAAGTAGTTCTGGATATTGGAAATTATGAAAGTCAGAAACACAGAACACAGGATAAAGGAATTCTGATCATTCATCCAGTTCACTATGCTGTAAATTTCCATCTTTTACTTGGGAGAGCTGGACTGGAATGTGGGAGACACTGATTTAGTCACAGGCACTGATGATCTCACATATCTACAGGCCTCTGCATGGTCTGAGACCCTTTCGGCACCTCTGGTAAACAGAGAGAGGGAAGGAAACTCGAGTCAGATGTTACAGGCTGTACATCCAGTTTAGAAGGCCTCCAACTCCAACAATATTACGGTGCTGATCGTTTACTTCTGGTTATTTTCAGGACGAAGGGCTTGCCTTGGAGAAGGACTGGCCAAAATGGAGCTGTTCCTCTTCTTCGCAGGCTTGCTCCGCAAATTTGTTTTCCAGACCCCTCCGGGAGTGGACAAGTCAGATCTAGATCTCACTGCTGATGTTGGCTTCACCTTGAACCCCATGCCTCACCTGGTCTGTGCTGTGCCCTACGAATGATCCAGCCGAGAGGTGTAGGCATAGTGGGCACTTTAGGCTTGAAATTAAGTCTGCTTACAGGGATTAAGAAGCTGTCTATTCCTGAGCTTTAGCAGAAGGAAAGCAACGAGCACTGCTATTTTTCTCTCTCTTATATCATCCTTTCCAAGAGCTCTCCTGGTGCTGGTATAATGCAAATCCTTCAGACACTCCGTGTTTCAGCACTGAGAAGCAGTGTGGCCCATTCCTGGAACAGCACATCAGAAAAGCAGCCTTCAGGGCTCTTTGAAGGAAGGAAATGGTTTCTGGCCTCCCCTATGGATATAACCCATCAGAGGCTCTAGCCTCTCCTCTGAGAGCCTCCACAGGGAATTTCCCAGCCCAAAGTCTAAGCACTGTAGCAGACTTGACTGATGGCCCAGCTGGAGCCAGCAGACACAGAGCGTAAATACTTAATGGATCTAGAAACCTCCCAGGGCTAGTTGTTCAGCTGAGCCTCATACTGAGCTTCCATTGCACAATGCAGCCTGCCTTATCTTCCTCACAGAGCCCCAGACACTAGGGTGTAACGTGGGTCTATGCCAGGAGACAGACGTAGGACAGTTATCAGAAAACATCTAAGTGGTTTGGGAAGTAGGTTCATTCCAACTCACACCAGGAACTTTGTACTAAAGAGCCTCTTTATGATAGGGCCAATCCAGCAGTTTTCCCCTCTGCTCAGAAGGACATTTCTGCTCTTCCCCAACTCTCCGAACTTGTGCTGGCTCTAACTCTTGTTCAGTCCTTGCCTGGGCCAATTCAGATCCTTAAGCAAGCCGAAAATAACCATCCTCAGAAAGTGAATAGCTTCTGAGTCAGCTCAGCTAAAGACTGGGCCCATTCCAGAAGCTGTTCAAGGAACATGAAGTTCGGAGCCAGGATGCACAACTCCCAGTCTCCCAGCTCTTCTTGACTTCTTTAGCTGCAACTTACAGCTTAGTTAATCTCAAGATCTCCTCTATCATCCACAGACAGAATGAAGCTATGGGTGATTCAGCTGCCATAAGGTCTGAATTCTGAATTGCTCCCTCTTTTCATTGACTGCAGAGTGAGCCACTACCCCCAGGCTCCTAATTAAAATTTCTCAATCATCTGATACGTCAGGTTTGGTGGGATGAGTAGGGGCAATACTTTATTTTCAACTTGACTGAAAATCAGACTTCAACACCTCAAGAAATGTTATCCTCTGTCCCCAGCTCTACAGGAGCCACACAGCCCCTGGCATTTTAACCTGTCTCCCCCTCCAGACATTTCCTGGTGTCAGGAAAAGCAGCAAGGTCTCCAGGCAGAGTAACAGACTCAGTCTGAAGCTCCAAGCAGTGCTGAGCAAATGACACAGTCATATGTGTCCACAGAAATGACATGATGCTCAGTGCGCAGCAAGACCAGGGTGGTCACAGTATGAATTGCACAGCACATTTTGACCCATGCAGAAAGTGCATTGACTGCTTATAGAGGAACCTACATAATGTTACATAGGCAGAGCTGGTGACACATTGCCTACCACAGACCCTGCATCACTGCCAAAGTTTAATAGGGCTTTGTATCTTGTGACTGTGAAAACAGATATTGTAAAACTGGTAATAGAGCCTGCAAGGAGCAGGTTGGACCTTGTACTTTGTCACCAAGCTATACCATTAATGTGTAATATGGGGTCTCTGCAGAGAGCTGCCTTGTACCTGTACTGGAACTGCACTTTTACTTGCACTGCGTCTTGGAGCCTGCCCCAGCTGCTGGATACGCCCGGGAGAGCTGCCGAACAAACGAAGGAACAAGAGAGCCTTTGCTCTGGGCTTGCACACGTGTGCTTGCTGCTGCTCTGTGCGCGGGCTAGCTACCACAAGCCTCACCTTAGCTCCTACTGAGGATATAAATATTTTCTCTGTTGCTGTAGATCTATCTGGTGTTGCTGGAAAAGATGGATTTCAGGTCAAACTGATAAATTTGGGCTGCACTACCTTTAATACACTCGTGCCCGAGTGGTATGGCCAGGGATCTGTGGGGAACACGCAGCTGGGACATGTTAAACTGTAAAAGGTGAGGAATGCTCATAGCTGGGAGCAGCACAGAGAAAAACATTGAAACCAGCTCCATAAAATCACAGCCGAAAAGGCAATATGACAGATCAGTTGAATATTTTAATGATTTTCCCCTCCAAATGTATCTCTTATCAAAAGCAGGCGAACAGCCCATAGGTGGACTCACAGATGGAGAAGGCACATGGGAAGGAGAGGCCACAGTGTCCGGTGCAGGCAGGATGTGTCCCCCGCTTCCTCAACCCTTTCTCATTACAGAGGCAAAATGGAAAAGTAAATGGCAGCAAATTTAAACTAACAGAAGAAAATAGACTTTCTTATGCACAGTTAGGCTGCAGTTAACAGACTTAACACTGGGACAAAGGATGCCACTGCATCCACTTAAAAGCAGAAGATAGGCTGTGAATAAGGTTACGACTAAATACTTTCTTATCTTACAGCTCCTCTAGGGCGTTCCTTTGGTACCTGGGTCTGGCTTGTGTCCGACAGGATATTGCTCTAGCCGCCTCTCACGGTGATTCCCATGTTCCTGTGTCTCCAGCACTTGCTTAAAAAGAGCTTGTTATGATAAAGCCACGAGCACGTGAGTTTGTCACCTTGCAAGGCTGCAGTGCCGGCCGAGAAGCAGGTTGGCAGCGGGGGCACAGACGTGGCAGGGATTTGGGTCAACGTGCGGGCTGCGGGTTGGCCTGTTCCTGGGCTCTGCTGGAGGCATCTCCTGGGGGTCGGTGCTGACAGCTGCTCGCAGCGCTGGGTCTCAGCGATGCCGCCCGTCCCGTCCCGCTGCGCGTGGCCGGGAGCACCGTGGGGACACAGGGGCTGGGAGCGCCACGGCGGGGCCGGCTGCCCCAGGAATGCACCGGGAGCGGCGTGAGCGCCGCGCTCGGCTCGTGTGCGGGCAGGGCAGCACGTAGCAGCGCAGCTCCCCAGCGAGACACGCAGCAGGCGCCTTCCTGAGACTGGAATTTCTGGTCATCGCAGGAGCTTGACTTACCGTTGTCATTTTAATGCATTGCACTTGGAACCCGGCTTAGAAAAACGCAACAAACTCCCCCCTGCCGCCCTTGGCTTTTGGGACATAATTTAAGTCTGTTTCTGAAAGGCCTTTTATGATTTCAGCAGCTCCCAGGGCAAGGATGAAATACCAAGATAGAGGCAGCCGCACACGACTCCTGCAGCGCGGGGAGCTGCGGTCGCAGCTGCCATCGCAGCGCCCTGGCTTGCACCCTGCGCCAGCCCCGGCCCTCCCTGCTGCCTCTTCAGCAGGAATGAGTCATTTCTTGGGGAAACCGTTGTCTCCAGCCCATTTCTTGGAAACTAATTAAAAAAAAGAGAAAGAAAAAAGCAATGTCACAATGCACTTCCCCTTTCCGCTTCTGAGCAGCGGTTGCCCTGTAACATCTCCCTACCTCTCAGTCCCAACCTGCAGCAAAGCAGCCACTTGCTTGGGGACCATGTGGGACTAGCTTTGATCACAGCCACCTCTAGCCTTCACCTGAGGCCCACTCCATCCCCCCCGTCTTTGCATTTGCAAGGCAAAGGTGTTAAGTTACGTGTTAAGTAACAGCTTTTATATGATCTTAACTGGCGACTTTGGGTAAATCTGCCCTTAGCCTTGTGCTTCCTGATCATGTAAGACGTACCTTTCTTTCCTAAACCATCTTCTGTATTCACTTTGCCAGCTGTCTATTCCCTTTTTCCTCGAAAAGCCAAGATTCAGCTATGCGGATCTCACTTCCCTCTCTATCAGATGTGAACCTGTATGAAGGATGCGAGCACTAGGTGCTGTATATCCTTTACTTAACTTAATGCTCAAGTTTGGCTCAAGGTCTGAAGCCTGCCAGTCCAGCTAACTTCATAGTTTCTTCCCTCTGTCTCTTACAAGCTACTCTTTCAAAATGAGGCATCTTCACCAAAATTTCAGATCAAATTTTGTCTTCCCATTTAATTTCAACTGCATCCACCCATGATCCCTTGATCCAAGCCGTATTTCCATGGGTAGCTGTTACATGTTCTCCAGACACAGAGTCTGCAATATCTCTCTTCTGGGCAGATCAGAGCCTATTTTACGAAGAAGTTTATGACCTATAACACCCAGAGATACCGGAGCTTTACTATTATTGACTGCCTTTGATTTCTCCTTGATATCAACCAAGCTAAAGTCGCCCCCAAAATATCATTTTTCTGTCCAGTAACACGAAGGGGATCTCAAATCCTGTCCAAACCTTATTCTGAGTGTTTCTAATAGGATTCAAGAAACCTGTTTAATTCCCCATGTCAGCAGAGCGTTTGGAAGGTCATGGTGTTGCCGATAAAGGAGTCGGAGGTCGCCAGGAGGAGGAGGCTATACAGGAATGCCAGGCACCTTTTCCCATGTATATGTTCTTGCACACACATGCATGGGTTTGTAATTTGAAACTCTCTTTTCTTCTGGACAGGCTTTGCAAACTGCTTAGACCACATTCTCTGAGGTGTTTAAAGAGGGTGGAGTATGCAGTATTTATTTAGGTACTCTACAAACCTTAATAAGAATCGAGTGCTTGTAGCAGTCGCAGAGAACAAACAGCAAGCCAGCTGGCAGAAAGGGAATAGTGCCACGGCACTGCTACTGCTTCAGTCCCCTAACCAGATTATTACTAAAAATGGCTTTTTTAATTTCATTTATCTCTGATCCTGCTTTAATTTGTCTGCTGTGTGCAACAGTATTATTAGCTGGACTCTATTTTTCAACCGGCTCTAAAAAGTCTGCTTTTAAATTGCCTCCTGGTCCAACTCCTCTTCCGATCATTGGTAATCTGCATTTGGTGGATATTAGAAGGCAAGATAAATCACTAATGAAGGTAGGACAAACAACCTCCTCCAAACCCAGATTCTAATGCATATTAAAGCTGCCTGAGTTGTATCAGTGATTTTTTTTTGCCTTTTTTTTCTTTTTTTTTTTTTAACTTTGAACTAACTGTAAAGGTGTGGTGAAAATTGCATTATAATGTTTTTCTGAGCTTCTTCTAGCCAATGTCTGTGTTGATACGCTGTCATTTATGTGTGATCAAGCGTTAAAAAAAAGACCACTGCGTAATATGGGATTTAATATGGGATTTCTTCATTTGAGTGTGACGAGGAACATCAAGTATATAATGCTTGTGGGATTCTAACTATTAATTTGACAGCTCTGATAGCCAGGAATCATTAAAGCGTCAGGAAATAACTAACATGAAATGCACTTGCTTCCCTCCCTCCCACCCTGGGGAACGGGCGAAGGAATTAGTCTCTGTAACGTCCCCAAAGCCGCTTTGGAGAGGATCGAATCCAGGTGCCTCTCTGCAAATTGTACCTCCGTCCTAATGAATCGGATTCACGTGCCAATCTAGAGGGCAGTGCAGGAGCGGGATGGAAAATTTGCGGCAAGGAAACCCAACAAATAGCCTGGAAACCCTTCCTTCACCTGCTCGTTAAAGCGGCTTACCCCGTTCATGGAGATAAGCGTCTCCCGGGGCCAAGGCGAGGCTGGCAGCCGGCCCGCGGCGCTGTCCCCGGCCCGCGGCGCTGTCCCCGGCCCGCGGCACTGTCCCCGGCCCGCGGCCACCTCCAGGCTCGACCCGCGCCGGGACGCTGAGCCCGAGCAAACAGAGCGGGGCCGGCCGGGAGCCGGTGCCCAGGGGGCTCCCGCAATCCCGGCCTAGGCAAACCCGGCGGCGCCGCGGGAGGCTCCCGGCCACGGGCAACGCCGGCTTAGGGTCAGTTTACCCAGCAGGGCTGGGCACACGTTGCTCCCGTGTCACCCAACTGCATTTTTCTCCCGCTTCCCTCTGCACGCTCTCCTCACCTGGTAGACACGCAGCACTGCCTGTGTTTGCCTTCGATTTGGGATCCCTCCAGAGCGGTTATCTCCCCATCTGCCCCCACCGGTAGCAGGGATGACTGCGCTGAGCGACACGCACCAGCACTTGCCAGACGGGAAACCCGAGGGGGAATCTGCAGGGCAAGCGGGGATGGATCCCTCCCTTTGGGATCGGGGCGATAGGGAGCCTGGTGAGCCCTGAGGCTGCCCGTGCCCCTTGGGGCTTCTTGGGGCAATAAGTGTGAAAACAGGGAGGGGAGCCGTCCCGCGCGCGACGTCCATGGGCTGGCGGGAGCTGCCGCCCGCCTCGCTCCCCTCACCGCCTGCCTCTCTTGCAGCTCGCCGAGGAGTACGGCCCAGTCTTCACCCTCCACTTCGGCTTCCAGAAAGTTGTGGTCCTCACGGGGTACGAAGTTGTGCGGGAGGCGCTCGTGAACTACACAGAGGAGTTTGTAGACAGACCATCCATCCCAATATTTGACCAAATTCAGAACGGAAACGGTACTAGAGAAAAGAGGGGTTGCGGGCGGGATGACACGGGCGCTTAGCGCCGGCCTAACTGTCCTTCCCACGATCCTGCACAGGGCTCCTAAAAATCCCCCTCTGGCCCTGCTGCAGCCGAGCACTTGCCTTTCCTGCCTTTCCTACAAGCCTCACGGAGCCCTTGCTGCTCTATTTGTGACCGGGGCGAGGAGCGGGGTGTCCAGCAGCCCTGCAGAAATGTTGGGGTTCGCTTCTGCAAAGATGGGCAACGGGAGCAGGGCAGCTCGCTGCCTTTCCCCGGGGTGTCACGGGAGCTCGGGCTGAGGTGCTCGGTTGTTGGGAGCTGTCGGGTTTTCCCTGGCTCCCGCTGCCAGGTGCCACGCGTTGGGACATAATCTTTCCACAGAATCTCGGCTCCGCGTTCACTCCGGGGTGGAACGATGTGAAACAGGTTCGGGCAAAGGCAAGGGGCTGAGGCTGTAAATTCTTCCCACAAACAGCCCCAAACAGTTTCTCCAAGGCAACCCTCCATCCTCATGACCTACTTCAGAGAGCATTTAATCTTGTTTTTTGACCTTCTTGCTTGAGCTTCAGCTTCGAGCACCCCAAAAAAGAGCTTTACATGACAGTCACAGGTTGGGATTGCAAATGGTAATTAAATTACTCAGCCATCATGTCAATAAACGAATGTATTATTACATAAAGATGAGGAATTGATGGGGAGACCCAATTAATGTTTAGAGCCAATTTATATGTAACATATCCCCGTGGGAGACTATCAATCGTGCAGGATAAGTACTTTCACACTTACCTTATCAGTCTGAGTGTGAACCATCTAGAGGTCACAAATTTCTGACAAAAACACATTTTTCTTCAGAAAATGCCCATTTTTGACTCCAACATTGTTTGCATAACGGACTGTTCAAAATGAAATTCCCTGAAAAGCAGATTTAAAGCAGATAAAAATGAAAGAAACTTGCTTTGACATATTTTAAACAGAAAGTTTTGCTTTCCAAATTAAAACTATGCTTCATAAAAATTGTGTTCAGTCAAGGATATTCAAAAATCCTGCAGCTGAATGTGATGGAATGCAAAATAATGTAATCCAGCTTTTCAGTTGACACAATTTGGAATATTCTTTGCATTACTGACACACATTTTCCTTTCGCTGCATCCAGCACCATGACAGGATGAAATACCCATCTCTGCTTGGTGTCATTAGTGATCATCACGACGTGAGCTCAAAGACTCCATAAAAGGATAGTCTTCTCCCCACTGCTGAGAAACAGTGTGGTTGGGAATTTCAGCAAATCCCAGCATGGACAGGGTTGTGTGGGGCTGATATATCCCATGCCACTTAGGAAAAAACCTTTATGATTGAAACATGATAAAGGGGAAAGCTTCCAAAGCGGTTGCTTGGGGCCCTAGACTTGCAAACAGAGACAGAAAGGTTGTGAGATTGCCTTGGACAACCTCTCTGCCCTCTCTGAAGCTACATAGGGCTGGTCTGAAAAGCCTGACCTCCTTACCTGGTAGAGAAGAGAGGGCTGGGTCAGACTAGACTGGGAGACAGCTGCTCTTTCACAAACTAGAGACCCAGTGAGACTGGGGAGACCTGAGCAGAGAGGAACCAGGGATGGGCACACAGAAACGGGAGACTCATTCTCCAAATCCATGGGAAACTGGGCAGCAGAAGGACTATTGGAGATAGTCCAGTGAGTCCATTCTTCTATTGTGCCTTGTGTGGTGGAGCTCCTCCATGTATGTTCCCAGTGGAAATGTCTTAATGGCCTCCCCAGGTATCTTCTTTTCTATTGGGGAGCTCTGGAGAACAACTCGGAGGTTCACTGTATCCAGCTTGCGCAACCTCGGCATGGGGAAAAAAATGATGGAAACGAAAGTTTTCGAAGAGCTTCACTTCCTTATAGAGATGATCAAATCCTTCAAAGGTGAGCTTGGGAGCACCACGGTGCCATACAGCTCATTGCTGCTGCAACATCCCATTGATGTTTCCATCCTCCTTTCCTTGCAGGGGAACCTTTTAGCCTAAGGTCCTTCAACAGTGCTCCAACCAACATCACCTTCCTCATGCTCTTTGGGGACAGGTTTGACTATAAGGACCCAACCTTCCTCACGCTCTTAAGACTCATAGATGAAGTTATGACCCTTCTGGGATCTCCGTATTTGAATGTATGTAACCTATCCCATAGATAAACTTGTTTTTTAAACTGTATATTGACAAATTATGGGGAGCCACACAAACCATGGGATTTCGTTCAGCAGTTCTCAAATATCTAGAACCAGCTGTTACACTTAAAACGTGGTGGTTGTCTGCATGTCACCCTGTCACCTCCAGCATCCCGCAGCATGGGAAGCAGCCCTTGGAGCGTGTGTCAACAGCAGTGCCATGGGGAATGTGGGAACCGGACAATGCCAGGAGCTCTCTTGCGAGTCTGACCAGTCTGCAGCTGTCAGGGGAGCTGAGCTCTAGAATGTTTCAAATATTAAAAAACAGGCAGCCCTAAATCAAAGCTGAAAAGCTTTGCAAAGCCCCTCTTTTCATGCAAATCTAAGACTGTGTTCTAAGAGTCCCTGGGACGTTCCTGCTATACTGGACTCACCTGATATGTTATCCCTTTGGAAGAAGTTACCTTGTTGATACTATAGCAGACTAAATACTCTTTTTGTTTTTAATTCCTCATCAGTATTTCAATTTCTACCCATTCCTTGGATTTCTCTTCAAAACACATAAGATCTTGCTTGAGAAAATAGAAGATGTGCGGGTCATCTTAAGGCAATACATAAAGACAAGCAGGGAAGACATCAACGAGAACAGCGTGAGGAGCTACATCGATGCACTGATATTCAAGCAACAAGAGGTATTTGACTGCTTAGCCTTGTTGACTGCTAGCACTATTTTCTTTGTGTTTTATAGCTAAAATTCTAGCTTCTAGATTTTCAAGCGAAAAAGATTATTCAAATCAATGCTATTACCCCAATGACATTGCAAATTCATGAACTCACATGACATTTTTCTTGTGGCAATGAAATCAATCATTAATACTGTTTCTTCAAGCTCAAAAATACACTTGAAATACTTGACTGATAGATCACAACTACCAGTCCTGTCTTTGTCTTATATCTCACCTTAGTCAAAATCCAGTGCAGTCTCTCATGTCTGCTGATTTCAATGAACACAAAATACTTTTGAATTTCTTCTGTCCAACTGGATGTGGATCCTTCTGTCCAACTGGATTGTGAACCACTCGGTTCACAAATGCTGCTCACACCCAATCGCATGTTGGGTCCTGGAGCATTTCCCAAGTTCCATGAATATTAACACAGTTTCAAGAGCTTTCTTACGAGTCAGTACGCCTGTGTGTTTCAAGGAGAAAAACAAAAAAGACAGCCTGTTCCACGACGACAACTTAATGGCCTCCATCCTCGACCTCGTGATGGCAGGAACAGAGACCACAGCCACGACCCTCCAGTGGGCCATTCTGCTGATGATGAAATACCCAGAGATTCAAAGTGAGCAACCTTTACTTACACTCCATCCATGGGGCGGTTGGTGAGGAGGGGAGAGGCCTGGCCTGCACAGAAGCTCCATTTGCTGAAGAGCTGAATCCTGCTTATCATTGTGAACTCCCGATGCAATTAGGAACTAAAGGAAGTCACAGTGAATAGTCTTTGTGCCTGGCGGGGGTCAGTATGAGCAGGCTGCAAAGTACGATGCTGGGGGAACTATCCATGCACATGCTTGAACGAGAGAGAGAGCTGGGAAAATCATGACTTGTGCTTTAGGAATCCTTTCCCTCCAGAGCCTGGAAAAAAATATGTTTTTATCAAAACAAAATGCAAAGGAGCGGGTGTCTTTGCTGGGACACATTCACTTTTTGTTCCTTCCAGAAAAGGTGCAAGAGGAGATCGGGAGGACGGTCAAGGCTGGAAGCTGGGCCACGTATGAGGACCGAAGGCACATGCCATTTACGAACGCGGTGATCCACGAGGTGCAGAGGTTTATCACGCTCCTGCCCCACGTTCCCCGCTGCACTGCTGTTGACACCCACTTCAGGGGCTACTTCCTTCCCAAGGTACGTCACTGCTCGAACACACCACCCTTCCTGTTCTCTCTTATTCTTCTCCAGTGACACTAATTAGTTCTCAAAGCCAGGCCTCTTCAACAAGAGTTTCAGGACAGAAACCCAAGGCAAGTGAAGCTCGGGAGAGCTTCCTCCTTTCCAGAGACGACACTCAGAGCCCACAGAGATTGGTGCCTTAGGACTCAATCCTGTCTCTGTCATGTTCACTCCTTCCTCTCTTCCAAAGTGACCCAGGTTTACTGCCTTGAGGCCATCTGCAGAGGCAAGTGTCTTCCTTATAGGATCTGACCCTCTGCCTGAGGTTCCCACAGCACCATGTGGTGTTTGGCTTTCATTCATGGCACTGCTGAAAGAATTTCAGCTTATTTACCTCTCAGCTGGCTAACAGAATAAAACCCTCAGCATCTCCACCTGTCCCAGGTAGAGCAAAACTGCTGGAGACAGAGTGAGACATGTGGCACCTTCACTTTGGACAGCACTCCCTTCTGGAGCTCCTTCTGGTCCCTGGCCCACTCCCCACATCACAGCAACATCACTGCTGCCTGAAGTCTTTGGTCATGCTTTGTGTGTGACGAGCCCAGGTAAAACTGGATTCTTGCTAAGTTCTGTGCCTTAACGTACTTTTCCTTCAGGGTATAATCGTAATCCCATCGCTCACTTCAGTACTGCTGGATAAGACACAATGGGAGACACCATACCAGTTCAACCCCAACCACTTCCTCGATGCGGAAGGGAACTTTGTAAAGAGAGAGGCTTTCCTGCCCTTCTCCACAGGTAACTAACGGCCTGGCACACACAGAACTGAAAGGATGGCAGGACCATTTTATTACAATAAACACAAATAGGCTCTTGATGACTAAGTCTCCACTCTCAATGAGCAACCAGGCAACTGAGCGGAGACAATTACCTTTGTCTAGGCTCTCACATGCTCTCATAAACCCAAACTTCTAGGGATTCAAACAGCTAATGGCAAGAATATTGGCTAGGTAACAGAAAATATTCCTTCAAAAAGAAGTCTCACCTGTACAGCGTCTTCATGACAGCCATAAATGCTTCCAAAGGTTCCTGATTTCCAGAAACACGTGCTGCCAGCCTGTGAGCCTGGGCACTCTCTTAGTCCAGCAATGTGCATCAGGAGAGGGCACAGCAGCAAGGAAGGGTCTTGCTGGGAGTCTTAAGGGTCTTAAGGAAAGAATAAACAATCTTTTCTAAAAGTGCAGCAGATGAGGATAAAATTCCACAAGAAAAGTGAGTTGTCAAACCATCCCACTGTAGGAGTCAACAGCATTTTTCTATCAGCCTGTTTAAGAGGAAGGATTGACTAAAGATGCTGAGAGGTTTGGAAGATTTATAACTTCACATGGATATAGGTAAAGGGAAGGATCTATTCTCAATAATGCAATGCATGTAAAAACTGTAACCCCAATCCACCCTGCTGTGTTAAACACCAATATATGCAGCATAAGAGCCCATCTGCAGCAGAGAGCTGATGAGCTAAATGGGCAGTCTTAGAAAGAATGAGCCCTTGGGCAGAAGGGATCAGAGGGCCTGGGCAGAAAGTGATTTTAGCTTGATATTTTCATCACATAAACACAATTCTTCTATCTGCAGGGCGAAGGAACTGCATCGGAGAAACCCTCGCCAAGATGGAGCTGTTCATCTTCTTTGTAGGGCTGCTGCAGACATTTACATTTCAACCCCAGCCAGGAGTTTCAGAGGCCGACTTGGACCTCAGCGTCCCCGAAACAACCTTCACATTGAGGCCTCGGCCCCAGGCAACCTGTGCTGTCCTGCGTGAATAACCACAACTCTGGTAAAGAGCAACTCAGGTGAGTGGGGAAGCCACTCAGACCCAACACAGCTAAGCTAGGACCCAGCATCCCACCCTGCCACATCATTTGCTTTCACATCCCCTTCCCATGGGGTCCATCCACTTCCACTCAGCCGCTCTCCACCTCCACATCTCCCCATAGGTTGTTGATCCCTCTTTGCCCCTGAGCTGTGAGAGGGTTCAAATGAGCAATTAGAAACCACGATCCTTCTTGCTGGTTGATAAACACCCTATGAATGGTGGCCTGGCCAGTGTCCCAGGAAGCAGTGACGCGCACATGTCTTCTCAAGAGAAGGATGGTGTGCACAGAGCAACTGGAAGGCCCAAGAAAGTTGCCTGGTGAAGGGCAAGCAGCACATGAGCTAAGCAGATCTGACGTGCAGGCTCCCATGGCAAAGCAGCGAGGCTCTGAATGCTGCAAAAGCCTCCCCAAAAGCACTGTGAAGAGAGATACACTGCTACCTACTGTGATACCTGCTTGGAGTTGTTTCTTCCTGGCAACAGTGTCCTGAGAGATGCGGTACAAACCTAGTTAGATAGGCAAGTATCCATCAGCTTCACCACTGCCTCACAGTCCGAACAAAGAGAGTCTACATTTCTAATGTTGCAGTCTAAATCACAACACTACATGAGAATTGTATCAGAAACTGATCATAAAATGCTAATGACATGGAAAATAAAGCAGACTCACTTTTATAGATCTCTGCCATTTCTGAGTTTGTTAAATAGCACTCTCCATCTCCAGGACCTCATGGGTAATCAGTCTGGTATTTGGGATAGCCTGGCCATTGGAACCAAACGTGTGATTTTTCCTTGCAAATAGAGTGTAATTTCACGCTGCCTGTATTACACATATACAGATACACACAGAATTAAGGATCAGAAGAGACCAGATTTTGTTGTTTCCTCCGCTCTTCGGCTTTGTCTGGCTGTCTCTATGTCTGTAGGGCTCTTATATTTGCCACCATATTCCTCAGCCTCATTCCAGTTCACAGCTCAGGCATTTTTCCATTCTCATATCTGCCTGTGAATTGCTGCTTCTCCATATTCATTACCTTATCATGCACAATATCACAATGTTTATATTTCCTCCTTCATGGAAACCCAAAACAGTTTTAAGTCACCAATCTCTTCCCTGTACCTCACGTGCCTGCCACCCAACCTTGCATTACACAGCAATGCAAATGCCCTGAAATGCTGATTCTGAGCCCAGAGCGACAATGGATATTGTCACAGTTTGACTGGCAACCCATGGGCAAGAGCTCTACTAAAACACAGCTTAGTTGGAGACCCTTCACATCTGAACAGTGATTTCTCCAGGCTCCTTCCCTATAGTAACAGGAACCATTACTATAGGGTTATACCAGTAATATAGGAATATTACTATTCCTATAGTAATAGGAACTCAAAAGGCAAATGTGACAATAACCCACTGGGAATGGGAGGAACAGAACCAGAAAACAAGGGGCTGGGTTCAAATCAGAGCTAATTCCCTTGGGCAGCTTCAGACCTGACTCACTGTCACCGGCTTTGGGGGTTTGGGCTCCATAGGAGAGGGATGATTTTCCCACCCTGCAGAGCAACCTCCAGCACCTGCACTTTCCAGGCATCACTTTCCCCACGGGTGCTCTGGCAGGCAGACCAAAGCCTGCAGTGTCCCTGGCCCCATACAGAAATCTAGCAAGACGGAGCCGTACGAGTGCATCAGGAAACATCAACAAGAGACGTGAACTACCTGATGCAAATGGGCACAAGAAACGAACTCCTTGATTCCTTTAAAATATGTATCTTATTTGTGCTTGCAATTAGCAGGCGGATAGAAGTGATCACTCCCAAGCACACAGAATTAGACAGCTGAGTATATCTCTGCAAGAGGAAGAGCCTCCTCCCATTCACTTGTTCAGCCAAATGATGGCAGAACATTGATTATGACTCAGCTATGGATTTATCTAGCACAAAACATTGGCTCTTGGGGCTTAAAAATGGGTGGAAATATCATCTCACATTCCTTAGGCCCTGAGGGTCTTCCTTCTAGCTGCAAAACATGTTTTTGCCCTGCAGCTCGCTGGCCTGAGGAGGAGGCAGAGGCGCAGGGGCAGAGCAGGTGATTTTTGCAGCTATGAGCTGCCTGTGCGTCCAGCAGCACGGCTGGGCAGCGTGTCCCATGGGCAGCACCCGTGATCAGAGCCTGCCTGCAGCCCCGCCTGGCACCCCAGTGCTGCACAGCCAGCAGCTGGGGCTCTCAGAGGGGCAGTGCTCGTCTGCAAGGACTGCAGCAGCAGTAAATTGAGGGCTATCTTACCTTTGAACCCTTTCTGCACATTAACCGTTGTGCGGAAATATTATTTCTATTTTCCTTTTGCCACGAGATGGCACCACAGTCCCTTCGAGTGCCAGACAGCCCTGCCCTGCAGTCCTTACTGGGGTGAAATGCCCCCTCATTGCTGGGAAGAGCGGAATTCTTGAGGCTTTATACACCCCTCACTCAAACAGGTTCACCTGTGAGCAAGGCTGGGCACTCAGACATACACATTACCAGATATTTATCATATATATTCATCATATATACAGACATTTATCGTTAACCTGGAAGAATCAGTGGTGCGCTGGGAACAGGAGTCTTCTCCTTCTCATCCTGGAGCACATGGGAATTTTCTCCCACCCTGTTCTCTCCCATGAGTTTACGTGATCAAACAAGGTGGGACAACGGTTCAACTCAGCTCCCACTGCAGATGTAGGAGCCCCTTCTGGCCTCCACTCAGCATTTCAGACCGAGGAAGAAGCCAGCTGCTGTGAAGAAGGGTCCTATTGCCTGCACTGATGAGAGGGTGAGGTGAAGCTCCATCTCTAGTACTTTCAGGAATACAGGTAACAACGTAAGAAAAAGGGAGGATCCCAACAAATTTCACAGAAGAAAGGAAAGGGAAGATGCGTGAGTTCTCACTCTGCCTGGATTTGCCCCTTCTGTGCAGCTTGAGGAAAGAGCATTTTAGAAGCGTTTTTGCAATATTTGCACCCTTGTTTGTCCAAACATGGCAGTCTGAAAAGAGGTTGTGCTTATGTATCTGAGCTATCTTTGGAAAAAATGCAGGAGATGGTGGTTTTGACTCATCAGAGGAGAAATGTTAGTCCTTTATCAGTAGCAGAACAGCAAAACCAGTGCCCAGAAAGGGCCAGAGAGTCCCAAGAAACTCTACTGAGATCCCTCAGAGCAAGGGCAACCTAAAAAGTGCAAATTTAAGTAGCTGGAAAGTCTGCAAGGTAGTAGAGGAATATCCATAGCACAGAGAAAGAACAGGAATCTGGAAAGAGTATGTCAGCTGGGAATGCCCATCAGGGAACGGGAAAAGAGCTGGGATATGGGGATGAGACACATACAGATGTATGAGATACAGATGTATCTCACACTGATCCCCAAATGCAGAAATAACACCCTGCCTCCTAGACACTCAGAACTGGTATAAGTTCTTATGTCAGGTATTTAATGCGTGAAGGAAAGCAGTGACTGTCCTGCCATTTTCAGTCACATATGTAGCTGGAATTTTCCAAGTAATTTTACCCACCAGCTCTCCTCAGTTTCTTAGAAAAAATTTTGCTCAACAAATATTTTAAGCACTTGCAAGTCTTTTGAGTAAGAAGACACTAATTGTTTCTACCGCATAGGGATCTGGTTTCTCCTTTGTGCCTCTGCTGGATTCTGTGCTTTTGCATGGATTAATTACTTGGATTTTTCTTGGTTTAGAGCTTTGAGTTTATTCTCGAGGCACAGCACAAGCACACTGTGGATGAGGCCTCATGGTGAATCCAGCCTCTGCAGTTGTGTCCAACTCAGATTCTTTGACTCCAGGTTGGGGTTTAAAGGTAAATTTCTGCATCAAGCCTGTGAAGAAGATGAAGAGCTCCACCGTGGCAAGACTTTCTCCAACGCAGTTTCTCCTCCCTGCAATGCCAAAAGCATGGCCATTAGTAGCACGATTAGGTAAGTGCTGGCTCAGCTCAACAGCTCTGCTCTACTACTTGGGTAAGAGCAGTGTGAGGGGCAGTATACGTAGAAATGCAAAAGAACAGGGCTGATATTCAGCAGACATCACCACTGGTCTCCAACACTACTCAAGTAGGGCCGGTGAGTTCCTTACAGGCTGTGACTTTATCTGGGAACTGAAGCTGGACACTGACCTTTCCAAGGCAAAGCAGACTCTTGTCTGAAGGCCTTGAATCTTTCGTAGTTCCCAGTGGTGTCTTTAAACAATAGACCGGGGCCCAGTGTGCCTCCTAGTGTGGGTTGAGAGGCTGTTTGCAACTCCTTGGAACCCAGGGCAGCTATTTCTAAAATACCACCACAACCAGCCTGGGTGCTGTTCCTAGCAGAGGCTCTTATCCTGTCCCTTGACTACGGTCCTCTGCGTGGCACTGAGCACGCCGAACTCTGCAGGACCAAACACTGTCATTACCTGTGGAGAAGGGTAGGAAAGCTTTCTTCTTCACAAAGTTCCCATCCACATCAAGGAAATGGTTAGGGTTGAATTCCTCTGGTGTCTCCCATTGCGTTTTATCCAGCAGCACCGAGGTGAGCAGAGGAATCACAGTTGTTCCCTGCAGCATAACCACTTTCAGCTTTAGCCAGTACATGTAGCAAACATTTGGCTTTGCCCATTCAACTTCATAAATCTCACTGCCCATTCAACCTCATAAATCTCACCTCCCATTAAGCTATGTCTGCAAGACAACCTCTACCACTGAAAAACTAATTTCTGAACTTCTGTGTAGCCAGAAGATCCTTCACAGGGATACTCAATGTGCTAGATTTACTATCTATTGTGTAGTTAAAAATAATGCTTATTGGCTTGCCCAAGTTATAAAGCAAAAGGCAAAGACGAGCCAGGCTTCCTTCCTGGTTGAGCTCTCTGCTAGCCTTAGTCAATGAGACAATGCTGTGATAATCTAAAGTCAACACAGTTTTACAAGGTAGTGAATACCAAGGGAGGGAATTAAAAGAATACAGAAGATTCCAAGTTATGAGGACAAGACAAGAAAAGCCAAGTTAGAGGAAAGGGGAGGCTGGGTGAAGTCACCCTGCCTGGACATGAGCAGATGGAGAAGTAGGGCCCTGCTGCTTTCCCATCAAGAGCTTTGCATTGTAGGCTCCTCTCCGGTGACATTTCCTGCTGTAGGTCACAGTGTGCTGCATAGGAATCACTCCACTCTTAGTCTTTAGGGAAGCACCTAAGCACATACCTTAGGGATGAAGTAGCCTTTAAAGTAAGTGTCAGTAGAGGTGCACCGTGGAACATGTGGCAGGAGAGTGACAAATCTCTGCACTTCATGGATCACCGCGTTGGTAAAGGGCATGTTTTTCCGGTCCTCAAAGGTAGGCAGGCAACTAGGGCCGAGCACTTGCTCGATCTCTGCGTGCACCTTTCCTACAGGGAAAGGACACAATCTGAGTGTCCTCAATGGCAAAGCACCTTCCAAACCCCAATGCATGCTGACTGCTGGCACCATGACCCATGGCAATGAAGAGTGGCACATCAGGTGGTTGCTCAGCCCCTGGAAGCGGAGATGAGAACAACCCAGTGCATTGTAAGACCTTAAAGGCATCTTACTTTGAATCTCGGGGTACTTCATCATCAGTAGGATGGCCCATTGCAACGTAGTGGATGTTGTCTCAGTGCCAGCCATGAGCAGATCGAGCGCAGAGGCCAGCACATTTGCATCGTAAAAGGAGGTATTGCTTTTATCCTTCTCCTTTTGAGAAACCAAAGGAAAAGGTAGAACTAGAATAAGGTTTCTGTGCAGCTCGTCAAGCCCAGAGTCACAAGATGCAGAAGAGCGCTGGAAATACACATTTTCTCTGGGAACCCCTTCAACATCCACCCTTATGTATGTAAATGCTTCTGCAAACAGTCCAAGACATCTACTTATTAGTTTTTGACGGTTATTTTTAGTAATTGTCATAACAAAATGCCTCTCATTGATAAAGGATGCACCCTGCAATGCATCATAGGGAATACCATCCAAGGAGATAACTTAGTCTTCAGAGGTGTTGGAATGGGAAGCAAGTGAATTACACAATGCACTGGATTAATATTTCAGCATAGAAATGCTTCAGTTTTCAGTAGAGAGATTTTGGCACTCAAGATTTTGAAGAAAAAAAAAAAGATAAACTCTTTGAGCTAATAGACCTAATAAGGTCTACAGACCTAAGGAAGGGCTGTCCATAGCTGACATCTAAGACATGCTTTACATTTCCATGCTGTATGATCTAGCAAGTTCCTTCTTGCCTTTCCTTCAGTGCTCAGTATTTAACAAGGATTAAAAATCTGTGTTACGATAAGACAATGTTTACCCCAAACATAAACATCTCCATATGGACCTTAGTAGAACATGGTCGTTGGGCAAGCAACCTTGAGCGTCTCTGCATATGAAACCACACTAGGAGTCAATATAATGCTTAAATACCTCTTGCTGTTTGAATACCAATGCATCGATATAGCTCGTCAAGTTGTTTTCATTTATGTTTTTTTTGCTCTCCTTGATGTGTTTGTTTAAGATCACACACACCTCTTCCACTTTTTTCAGTATCATCTTGTGAGGTTTGAAGAGAAATCCGAGGAATGGGTAGAAATTAAATAACTAAAAAGGAAAAAAAATACAACATAACAAGATTAAACCAAAAATAAACACTCATTATGTTGTAAAACTTAAGTATCATAATGGAGAAACCATTTATTTGTATAACCAAATGACATGTTATTGGAGTCTCTCATTTTTTGGTAACTAAAAAATTTAGTGTATAAAATGTCTCCTCTTATTAAAAAATCTCCACAGAAATAAATGAGCCTATCATACTTGTCTAGACATAGCCTATAAACACGAATTAAAAAATACAATTAAGGGAAAGTGATAGTAAACTAGTGAAACAATGAAATTACACTTTTAAAGAGGTAATAAAGCAAAAAGATAAAGAATTATGCTTTATCCCCCAAATTCCAAACATTTAATAAGCCAAAATAGTTACGTTTTAAAGTTGTTAGATCATCATTTTTAACATTCACATGAATTATAAATCAATTACACTCAGTTCTCAGCACCATTAAATTTCACAGCACAATAAACAGTTTCACTTTATGTGCAGGGGGGTTCTCAATATTATAAATAAACCAGCCGCAGAATAAAAATGTCAAGTCTCATGCTTTACCTTGCACTAATTGTTTATACATTTTTGCTCTTTTCTGCAAAATCTAAGTCTGCTTGTTTTCTTTAATAACGAAAGGATGTTATGCATTTTTGTTGTTTTAAGGGATTCTCATACTTCACCAGCATCTTTAAAAAAAATTGTTTTTGATTTTTTTTTTTTTTTTTGATATTATCTTAAGTAACTAATAGTCTAGCCCTTGTGATGGAGGATTAAGCTTAAGAGCTGCTTGCTCAGGTAGGCACCTTTTAAGGTACTTATGGTGTAAGTTGGGATACACGTTTTGTGCCGCTCTGTTTTGCGAGTACAGCCTCGCTCTGCAGTTGATTCAATCACTTTGCAGTTGATTTAATGCCACAGTGACAGCCACGACAGGTAAAGAGGTAAAGGAGCAGTGTAATCATGTCTACAATCTCTACCAGCTTCTAGAGAAGGATCAAGAGACCAAAATAGCAAATCCTTGTAACTTATCCTTATAACCCCTAAATACACAAGGACTTGTCCCAACAACAAGCAGAGCAGTTAATTTTGGGGCAGTCACGCAGCATTCAGGAGACATTAACCAACACAGGCCAGGTTATTTCCAATGATACGTGCACACAGAAAAGCAATATTACAATAGACTTATCACTGGTGTGTTTTAAAAGAAATGACCCTGGTCATTCTCTCCAAGAGATGTCCAATTCCCTTGTCTCTTCCATCTGAGATCTTTTGGACTGCAAATATTAGGGAGTGGGAGGTGCTGGTTTTAGGTGGTTGTTCTGGGTACTACCAGTACTTTGTCAACAGCTGGAAAAACATTGACCAAACACTGAAAAAACATAGGCAGAATTCCTCTGAATTCTCTGGAAAAAGGTGACAAACATTTTTGGGACACACACCAGGATTTTTTTCCTGCTGTTACAGTGAAACACTGAAGGAAGAAGGTTGCCCAAATTCCAGAGCTGTCCTGCATTAGGGTCTGTTTCCTCGTGGGAGACAGGAAGTCACCTTAAACTGCAAAGCTTGCTAGATAATGTCACTGAAAATCGATATATAAAGGCCAGAGTCTATAGTGTGGAATTCCAGTGGTGTTCTTGGGCTTTCTCTCGCTCTGCATAGCGCCTGCTCCCTGCTGGCAAGGTCATCTTCACATGTTCATTCTAGTGCTACGTCGTCATGCTGGACTTTCTTTGTCCACTGTAGTTTACGCAACGGGATTTCATAAACGAGGAAAATCACAGAACAAACTATCTTAAGTCGCAATGCCCTCAAGATTCTCAAAAATTGTCCAGCAATGGAAGTCTGCTTGACCAACCAAATCAGACAAGATACTGAAGCATTTCAGTAGAGGGCAACTTACATGCAAGAACGGAGAGCCAAGAAGGAGCATGACTTCATCTATGAGTCTCAAGAGAGTGACAAATGTTGGATCTTTATAATCAAACCTTCTCCCAAAGAGTATAGCAAAAGTGATGTTGGTGGGGGCCGTGTTCAAAAATCGTAATCTAAAAGGTTCACCTAAAATTGAACAAAATCACAACTGTATTTGTCATTTCTGGAGCAACCAGAGGTCTTTACAGTGGCTCTGTAAAGCAACATAAAAAAACCTGATGCTTCATCTCCAAATCTCCAGCTCACCTTTGAAGGACTGGATCAGGTCAACAAGGAAGTGAAGCTCTTCCTGAATCCTTTCCTCTGCCAGTCGTTTTCCCATGCCAAGATCCCGCATGGTTGCCATGGTGAACCTGCGCGTTGTTTTCCAGAGCTCTTGAGAAGAAAAGAACACACCTACAGAGGAATCGCATGTTGTGTTTGTGGGATTTTTGAGGAAACACTGAAAACACGGCTGGGAAGCACAGGTATTTTCCGGACAATCCTCCCTGGAAAAGCCTGCTCGGGAGAGGACTGGAGCGCTTGCTGCAGGGCTGAGCGAGGCAGGTAGGTTCAAAAGCAGATCCTTTAGAAGATCAATCACTGTTCACACCAAAGCTCTGCTCCTCGCATGTTTCTACACATGCCTCTTTGCAGCCATACACAGTAAAATGCACTTTATATGGCATTTGTCTCAGACCAAGTTGTTTTTTCCCTAAAAAAAACCATCCCAGCTGTTTCAGAGAGCAAGGCTAGGAGCACATGACACTGTTTTACCCATATCACAAACATAAACCACTACACTTAGCAGCTGGTCTCTTAGAGGATGAACTTTTTACTGTGCAGGAAGACAAGGACAGGGCCATGGGGAGGCACCTTTCCTCCCACAGGGTTGTTGTGAGAAGCTGAAATGTGGTGGGAAGTTTCAGGCATTATTTTTTAGTGCTGTGCTACACTGGTCTGTCCCCAACACTGCAGTTGGGAACACTCAGCCAGGAGGACACAGAGTTGTTTGGATTTAATTCAGAAGTCCTCCTTTTCCAGGAAGGCTTCAAGGGCTGAACATAGTCTATGTCTTCATATGCTGCCTAGAGAAGCGGCATAAGACAGTGCCCTTCCTCACACCGAACCTCGCTATTGTAAAATGAGAAGAAAAAGACCAACATGCTGTACACATTCTATACATATTAGGTCATCAGATCTTTTCCTTTCAGCCCTGGACAAGTCCCCTCATTGTTTTTCAATGTCTAGTCTTGGGCAATATATTACTTTTTAACATGCAGTTCAGAAGCATGCCAAAAATCTGTTTACAGAAGTAATTGTTTGAGGTATGTACAGCCCATGCTACTGCACTCTTGCCAGTTCTTGCAGTCTGTATCATGACTCATGCATGATCCTGTCTTTGTCTGAACTCCCAGTTACTGCAGCAAAGAGATTGCATAAGAACCTCAGCTTTCATGTGAAAAAAAAATAACTTCCATCCTCTGCATTGCAAAAAATCCTTAAAATGTGACCTCTGAAACAACAACAACAAAATGTCAGGGCATTTCTCTTAAAAACAACCCCCTCCACCATGTTCCCAAAATGTAGGTCTTGACTGTAAGGGCCTGGCTCCAGACCCTTAAGTACTGCTGCAATTCCAACAAAGCATTTGAGAACAGTGTAGTAAACTCATCCTCATCTTCCCAAAGTGCTCATACCATTTCCATGCTGGATGTGATAGAATATGGGTATAGCTGGTCTGTCTGCAAACACGTCAGCCGTGTTCAGCAGAGCTTCTTTTACTGCTTCATAACCAGTGAGCACCACGGTCCGCTGGAACCCCAAGTGGATAGTGAACACTGGGCCATATTTCTCTGAAATCTGGGGAGAAAGAAAAAGCACAACTTGGAATTCATCAGTGGAAGCAGAGCATCCTGCTATGGTGGTTAAACAACCGCCTTCACTCCTTGTTCTGTGGTCAGGAGGGCTGGAGGGCTGCCACAGTTTAAGCCTTGAGCCACTCAGAAATCAGAGCAGTGAACTCTGGTCTACTTAAACCAACAGCTTCAATAATCACACCCTATTCTGAGTCAGTTGTACTCATCCAGTTTGGTCCAGGAGGTTAAGGCAGGCAGAACATAACATGACACTTACAATACTAATGCTAGCACAGCAGTATTAAGAGGAGTGCAGTGGATCAAGTGCTGATCTGTCAGGTTGCAATGCTACAGAGGACCACAAGAGGATGAAAGCACCAAGGCATCCTTATTTCTTACAGCAATTAATGCAATGATGTATAACATGACTCACCTAGAAGGAATATGAAAGCAGAGAGGAACCTCATGAAGTTTCCAAAAGGCAATTGCAAAGTCCTGCATCTTGGGAGGAATAATCCCATGCACCAGCACAGGCTGGGAACTGACCTGCTGGAAAGGACCCGGGTGTCCTGGTGGATTGCAAGTTGAACATGAGCCTGGAAAGGTGCATGGCAGGAGGGTCTAACAAATGTATATAAATATATGAAGGGAGAGCGTAAGAAAAGACAGATCCTGTTTCTTTCAAGTGGTGCCCAGTGATGGGATGAGAGGCAAAGCACAAACTCAAACACGGGAAGTTCCATCTGAACAGAAGGAAAAACATTTTTACTGCAAGGATGACTGAGCACTGACCCAGATTGCCTTGAAAGACTGTGGAGTCTCCTTCTTTGGAGATACTCAAAAGCCCTCTGGACACAATCCCAGGAAGCCTGCTCTAGGTGGCCTGCTTGAGCAGCGAGGTTGGACTAGATCAACTCTAAAGTTGCCTTCTAACCCCAACCATTCTCTGCTTCTGTGACTCTGTTTTCAGTCATTTGCTCAAAATAATGTTTCAAATGCTGCAACAAGTACTATGCAATTTTCATGATGAAATCCTTTAAGGATTCTTCTTTTAAGGAGGATTTCTTATTTCATGTCATTCATTTGCTAATACCTTAAAAGCCTTCTGGCAAGTCAGCTGTCAAATCATTACTCCAATTGCACAAGGCCAATACGAAATGTATTATCACAACGTATTATCACATTCTTGGCCTCTACCGTCACCTCAACTGCTCCTCTACCCAAGGTACAAGGTCCTGTGACACCTCTCTGCTTGCCCATCCCAGCATCTTCACATCAAACCTGTCCTCCTCCTGCCCATCGCTGCAGTCCAGGTGAACCCTGTCCTTTGTGTGCAGGTCGTTATGGCAGTGCCAGTTAGGGCAGAGCAGTGGTGACTTTGTCTGCTTGCAGCAGACTCCTTTTCCAGTGGGCTAATTTGTTAGGGAAGTCACACGTGGCCAATGCCCAATCATTCTGCCTGATACCTCCACCTTTCCCTATGTCCATATTCCACTAAGCTGCCACTGCCAGGCTCCTGGGTCCTCATATCCCCTCCTTTCCAAGCTTTCTTTGCTCACTCTTCCCAGGCCTTCCATGCACCAACTCTATCCCACTTCTATCCTCCTCTGCAGATTTCCTGGATTCGGCTGAAAGGAGCCACAGTCCAGTCACTGCTTCCCAGGTCCCAAGAGCTGGATGGTGGAACAAGAACAGGAATGAGGACACATCCACACAGGCATTCTGGACACCCCACACATGCCGTGGTGATGGCAGCAGGACAGGAAGGCAACTCCTTTTACAAGAAATAGTGTCAACAGGTTGGAGGTCTGCTGCCAACCTTGATACTGCTGAACAAGTATCAAGGCCTGGAGTTAGGCGATCAATCCTGATCAGTCACACCCTGTTGTCCTGGAAGACACGTGGAACATCCACTGTCCCACGTTTCAGTTCTGAATTGGTTGAAATTTCCCCCTTTTTCTGGGTTGCAGACACAAGGCGCCTGCAATTCCTATGCAGAAACTTGTATTACAAAACTTCAAGTCCTTTGACGTTTCAAATGATTCGTCTTACCTCTCTTGTCTGAAGGGTGCTACATTAATGAGTGTTCTCATGAAAAACTGGCTCATGAATAACAAACACGAGATTTTTGGCAAGCACAATTAAGCATCTGTCTTTCACTTAGGTTACATGGACACGTAAATATATTCAAGTATTTCACAACACAAGAAATGACAGAATTTAGGTTCATAGGTCCTGAGTAATGCAAACAAATAGTTTTCAATGTGCACACAGCTCTTCTCACACAAGGACTACTTATGTTTAATATCAGTCTTTCCAGAGTTGGGACTTAGCTGTTTCCTTAGCCAGTTTAAACCTTGAAAACTTATAGCAGTTTTTTTCAATTGCATTTGGCACTGAACAATTAGAACAGCTCCTGGTGACAGTTTTAAACTGCAAGTGCTAATGCTGAACACGCTGATAACAAGGGATACTTGTTCCTTACCTTCATTAATGACTTATCTTGCCTTCGGATATCCAGCAAATGCAGGTTACCAATAACCGGGAGAGGAAATGGTCCAGGAGGCAAATTCAAAGACGACTGTTTCAAACTCTTTGAAACGCAGAGTGCAGCTAATAAAAGCAATGTGCACAAGCCACAAATAAAGAGGGGCAGGAAGGCAGCCATGCTTTGGTGGAGCCTGCCTTTCAGTCAAACCACCAAGAGATGTGCTTTAGAAGACTCACCCTATATTTATTTAGGGTAACTGATATGAGGGCTTTTGCTCAGCTTTGCATAACCCTTCCCTCCTCCCCCAGCTCTCCAGAAAATGTGGATGCTACCTGTGCACAAAGTGAAGTCCAAACACCGCTAGTGGTGGCAGTGGCTTGTTGGCTCCTCCCACAGCAGGACAGGGCAGATTTCCCTTATTCCCAAAGCTGAGCTCAGATTCTTCTGCCTGAAATCATCTGCTTTATTATCAGACATTGATCACAATCTCTCCTAACATTTCCTCTTCATCCCTCATTCTTCCAATGTATTGACTATTACTATCAGAAATGTCAAGTCCTTGAGCTGCCAGGCTTGAATGATTTACCTGTCAGGTGGAAAACACTTAAGTGGAAACTTTTACGCTTCTTACTCTTCCTTACCTCTGGCTACAATATGGCAAGCTTGTATAAATGCAGACTTGCTGATCGCCCTGTATTTTCTTTTCCCCATCAGAGTCAGATGAAAAGCTAAGAGCATCTGACAGAGAGGAGTATTTCCTCCTGCTTCCAGCATTGTGTTAACTGGTTCCACTTTCACTCTTCACATGACAGAAGCACTAAGAAATATTGTGCCTTAGAGAGGTATATTATTAAATCAATATATATGTGAAAGGCCTTGTAAAATATCTGCTGTCCAGCTGCTTACTGGCAGCTTCTAACAGAGTGAGACCTGTCAGAGCCATTACAGGAAACACACATCACGTTTGTAAAACTACTCCAGTCTCACAAGCTGTGCAATAGTTCTGTAGCTGGGAGAAGAGTGTATAATGTGTCTTTTAAGCACTTCTATGTCACAAGGATTTTGCATCCTTCCTGTGATGTAAGACAGGGATGGTCTTCAGGACACTTTGGGACTGTTCCACGGTGCAGCAAGCTCTATATTTACAAAGAGCTGCAACTTGCATTCAAATCAGAAGCCTCCCCCACAAAGCAGGCAAGGATGGTGACTGGGCAGAACAGCATCTCGTTTTGCACCCATTCCTGCTTCAAACCTTGGAAAAACTGCCTTGGAACAGTCCGATACAAACCCACTTATGTTGCAAACAACATTTTCTTGCGGTGAGAGCAGGAGCCGGGCAGTCTGGCTATCTGCGCTGCTGTCCCTGCTCGGACAATGACTTTCTATGTGGCTTTGAGCAGCCGGCTCCAGGACCCTGCGGAGCACCGGCCGGGGTAGCGCTGTGAATGTCCCCGTTGTTGCTGCATTTGGGGGCTGCCCCGCTCCGAGGGAGCCAGCCCAGATCCTGCCCTTGCGCTGCAGTCATTTCAGAAAGGTGTTTTAGGCTGCAGCCAGAGAGGAGGTTTTGCAGGAAACGGCAGGAGAAGCTGCATCCTTTCACAGCTCAAGCCACGCGGATGCAAACCCTCTCCCCACACTCTGCATAGGAGGAGAAGTTACTCATTACCTGCTGGGTGAAGCAACTCGTGGAAGAGGCCAACCCAGGCAAAGGGCAGAGCATCTCCCTAGATGGTGCGAATAAAACATTTTCACATAATGATTTAAGTTAAAGATTAAAATGAAAATTAATCTTTATCCAGGAATCAATGATCCTTTGGAAAAATTAAACCTTCACAGTCACTTGAGGGCAGGGTGATTTCCCAAGTCTCTGAGAATTACAGAAAGAAGCACAGACAGAGATGCTCTTAAACAGTGTGTTGGCCCCAAAACACTCATTCTGCATTTGGGAGAGTCCCTGTCACATGTAGCCACATCCTAGTCTCTCCCACAGGTACGAAGCTCTGATGCATTAAGGTCCTTTCTGAGCCTTTGATGATTTAGAGCAATAATTTAATTTTTGTTCTCATTTTTTTTTTTCACTTCTTGAGGCTTCAGGATTCCCTCAATGACAGCGCTGAGCTTCTCCTTTCCCCTGTCCAAACGCAGCTGCAGGGCTTTTTGGAGCAGGATTTGCTGTGCTTTTTCAATTCTCATTTCCTGGCATTCTCATCCCATCTATCAGGCCTTTAGTCCACAGAGCTTCAATCTCACATTTTAGCTGGTGCCTAAATATGCACAAACACTACATATTTTAAATAAATACTTTTTTCTTTCCTCTCTCTCCTCTCTTTCTGAATAGAGATTTCAGCTTCTACTCTTCTTTTTTGCCCCTTTCGGTAAAAAACCAGCTTGGTTTTCCCTCTGCATGTGCTCTCTGGTGGCATCCATGGCCAGCTCTGTCCTGATGCAGGGCCTGTCCCCCCACAAAGGCCGCGCTGCCACCGCAGCCCTGCAGCCTCCAGCACTGCTTGCATCACCCCGGCCTCTTGGTGGCATCTCCAGCACCGCTGCCATCAGCAGGCACCACGGGAGAGGAGAGGTTGAGCCGGACCATTCTTCCAAAACAAACACGACCACAGGCAAAGTCCTACCTCCGAATGTCGTGTTGCTGCAGAGCAAACAAAAGCCAACCTTGTTAAGATTAAAAAAAGCTAGATTCCAGGCTGGGTTCTTCAAGGTGCAGTCTGGAAAACACCGTTTTATCCCCTCTGGCTGCAGGGCTCATGCGAGGGCAGAGCAGCGAGGATGGAGCTCGCGGGCCCCACGGCGCCTGGGTGGTCCCGGCCGGGCAGTCCCGGGAAGCAACCACAGGCTTCCAAAGGGAAAAAAAGTCCTTTTCCATTTATTTTTCTTTCAAACTGTGTTTTAAATGTTACTCGGAACAGCTCTTTGAAGCAGCACGAGCTCCCTCGAACCTTTCCCTTCAGTCCATTAACACGCGGTGACAGCCGTGAGGCAAGTTCTAGCAGCCAAACTGCAGCCACACTGTCGCTGACTGCGAAACCAGTGTTTAAAACATGAATCTTTAGGAAAGCCTGTCCGCTATGATAGAGCTTCCCACCACGGACTCGCATATCCGAGCAGAGCTCCGGAGCACCAGTTCTGACCGAGTTTGAAGGGGTTTGTGGCTTTCTGTTGACCAGACATTTGTTAAAAGAGACGTAAAACACTTCAATGTTTAAGCTGAATACAAGCTGCTTTGTAGATTATTTTAAGAAAGGTCCCATAACATTTCTGCTGCACTCTCTCAGCTCCTGGAATCCAACTCTTGTTTCAGCATTGCCATTTCAACAATCCTATATATATATTATTTTATTTATATATTTATTTATCCAGTTGTTGGGGACAAATCCATACCTTCCTTGTGGAAGAATTTTAGGGATTTGCGAACTGTGGAGTTTGACTACTGCTACTGAAGCACTTCATGGCATCACTGTCTCGAATGGCCAAAGCACATCGTGAAGGGTCATGGTCATGCCCAATCACCAAAAGGAGCATGATGCTCCTTTTTAGGTCATAGACTAATTTTTAAAGAGATGAGTAACTTGAAGTTAAAATGTAGCAGCTTTATCTGATTGTGTTAACAGCATGGATAGTTATTAGTTCGGGGCCAGTGAATGAGCTGTTTGCCTGTTTCAAAATAAGGATTATAGCTCTGGCCAATTTTATTGACCTCCTGTAGTGATTCTTCAGGAACCGGGCAATAAATTCCTAGAGATTTGCTCCGTAAGTCATTAGCCGGTAAAAATCTAATCAGGTCACAGCCAGAAGGTCCTGAACCAGAAAAAAGAAGAAAAAAAAAAAAAAAAAAGAGAAAACCAACTGTTTTGGTACCAACTGTAGCCACTGTGTTATTAACCTCACAAAATCTGGACATGTTTCAGGAGCTGCCAGTTGAATACTGAAAACCACCTCCTGCCTTCACCAGTGAATCTCTACCTGCCAAGCCAGCAAGAAAGGGAAAAGGCAATAATTTTACTGGTGTAAAACTAGCAATTTCAAGTATGAACATTTTACAATGAAGATTGCAAAATCTTTAAGAAAAGATTTTCCTCAATAGGCTTTCCTAGTCATTGAAAATCTGAGAGCCTTAGTAAAACAGAAGATGCCAGGAGGCTGAGACAGAAATAGTCAGTATACATTATGTGTTGCAATTTTACGGCTATGAGAACTTAAATCAAGTTGTTGGAATAAAATATTTGAAAGCACAGTGTAAATATTTGTAAGCATTCTCCTTTCTATAAAGGAGAGCCCATTATAATCTCAAAATACATTCTAGGAAGAAATTCCCGGGTCCCGTCTCTCCCTTAGGCGAGCAGAGCTGCACAAGTCCGTGCAGACGAGCCTGGGTGCTGCCCAGAGCTGTGAGCCGCCAGGTGTCACTCCCACCTCGCTGTCACTCTGCAGCCAGGTGAGTGACCTGCAGAAGCACAACCTCCTCTGAGACCTCATCGCATCCATGAGCTTCCCAGTGCCTGGGAACAGGGGATCTCCTTAGCTTCCAACCATGGTTCACAAGTTCATCTCCTCTCGTTTCATTTACCTAAGCTCCAGCTGAACAGAGAGATGAGGGGATTCAGCAGGAGCTGAACTCTGAGAAGATTTAGGGAAGGACTTAGGGAAGATGCAACAGCTCCAAGCTCTGCACTCCTCCCCTGTGATATCAGCTGGGTTTTCCCATTAGTTTATGTAAGAGCTTGAAATTAAGTTCAGCAGGAATTTGGGACACACCGCGGGGGCTCAATCCTTTCACAGGCTGCAGTAATGTTGACTTTCTTTTTTCAGAGGCTGACAATGTGTTGATCCCTCTGTGCCCTGCATGCAGTGCTGAATTACGTACTGATGTCACCAGCTCTGCAGGGGATTTCTGAGCAAGTGCAGTGACATCTCACACCCTATTCATATGAAGACATATGCACCAGGGATTTTGCCAGGATTCAGCCCTTATTCATGGCATTACAGTCCTGTAATGACCACACTGAACATGATTAGCTCTCTTGCCTTTAAAAGGAGACTGCTTTCTAATTGCTTCTGTGTTAAACACGGTCTCTACTTGGCATAACTCAGTGCAGCATTTCTAAATTCAGTTTCACTCGTGAAGTTTATTCTGGTTGCTTGGCTGGGGTGCATCCAGATGCTATTTTTATTTTCTGATCATCAAGCCTGTTTACAGAGTAGAAGAACAATATGGGAACAGAAATAAAGCTGGGACAAACCCAAAGGAATGAGACCATTAATGGCATTGCCAGTATCTCTAGCTTGAAAGAGCAAGAGGCCCTGCAGCCGTGCAGCTCCTTTGTGAAACTCATCCTGGTACTTCAAACTTCAGTTGTGTTTGATTTACCCATCATCTGCGAGTTTAACACCAAACAGTTAAAATGCCAGCATGTTCTTCAATCGCCAACTTCATATCTGTGGCACATTAAAAGAGCAAAATATTTTCTAGAATATAAAGGCTGACTTGCTGACTATCACAACAGTATCACTTTTGGCTTCCTTAAAAACTGTAATCAAAATATTTTGAACAGTAGCCTGCAGCTACTGAATACTTTTCTGTCTCAAAATAGACACAAACGTCCTCCCACCTTCTGCCATGGGCTTTCTGGTCACTGTGAGGCTTTGGTGGTTCTGTCCTGCTTCCTTCCCTCTACTCAGTAAATACAGCCCATCTGGTTACTGAGTCTTTGATCCGAGTGCCAGGCTACCAGCTTATTCTGTGAGGCAAAGGGTTAAAAAAGACAAAATATTAGTGGGGAGGGTTTGAGAAGGAATTATTTTCTATATTTGCATTTACATTTTTAATATAGTAGTGTTGTCTAGAGGCCACACTTGGGAAATGGAAACCAGGAGCCTGGTTTCTATTTTCAGCACAGCCACTGATTGTTCTATGTTGCTGGCAAATCTTTTAATCTCTTTCCCTCTGTTTTTCCCCTCTGTAATAAAGGGATGATGAGGCCTCCCCAGCTAGGCATCTTGTGGCAGGATCCTATCGGATGAAACATGTCAAGGACAAAGTATTAATAATCATTCTATATGGAAAAGCCAGGGGGGCACAGGTATTTAACTCCAATTTAGCTATTCAGTGCTCCTTTATGCATGCACCGTGCCTTGATGTTAATAGAAGTTACATATTAATATATAATGGAAAAGAAAGCCCTTCAGGGCACAAAACTAACCATATCCAGAGCATCATTCAATAAATACAATATGAAGATGAAATCACTCCAAGTACTGAACAAATTGAAAGGCAAGGATATATTAAAAAGAAAAGTCATCCAGTCCTCTTCCCACCAGGCATTCTGCCTTCAGCACAAAGATAGTGATGAAGAGCCCTATCAGGTATCAAGAGGGGGCATTTGAAGTGATGCATAAAAGGGTAACCATAAGCTATCATTCATTGCTTACCCTGCCTGGCACCTTCCTGAGGACAGGTTAAGAAACCAGACAAAGTAATGGCTCCCTCAGTGCAACATAGCAATGTTTGTGCTGAACCTCCCCTGCAGTCCTCTCCATCACTCCATGCGTCTCCTGGCACCTGGAGGTTGTGCTCCACGTCCTTTCCTCCCACAAAACTGCACACTCTTGGTGTGCTCCCTTCCATGGGATCATCCTGCACTGCCAGACATCAAAATCCCTGCCTGTTCCTTGCACTGGCCATGGCTGTGCAGTGCTTGCAGGACCTTCTCAGCCCATCACCTGCCCGTGCCAGCTGCCTGTCCCCTGCAGGAAAGCTCTCTGGCCCAGAGCTCCCTGAATCAGGAGATGAGCAAAGTCCTGCTGCTTGCATTGCTCAAGCCACCTCTGCTCACGTTAGCTACACAAGCCTCAACGTGGCCACACCTCGGGGAGGATTTTAGAGACCTGGGTGATGGTCTACCTGCAGCAGAGATCTCTCCACAGGAACACTGCACGTTCAAAGTCTTTTGCAAACTGCCTATCCCCTCAATCTAATTATTAAAGTAATTAATTATTAAAGTAGTTTTAAAATAAAACTGTGGCATCACATTGTGAGACAGTCAAGCTGCTCGCACATCCTCTAGGATCACACTGAAACAATGTGCATATGCTTTGGGGACAAAAAAACAATGTTTTTAAAGAGGTATTTTATTATCAAAACAGTCACCACTAGCGCTTCACATTTACTGTTCAGGATTATTTGAAGCAAGTGACCTTTCAGATTCTTAAGACTTAGTATGTAAAGCCCTTCATAATCTAAGCCTAATGACTTGAATTACAGCCTTAGCATCCTGACAATCAGAACAGGACTACAAGAATTCTACTTTCTTGATCCACAGAAAGGACTGAGATGGATTTTGAATCCATTTCAAGGGAAGTAGATGCCCTTTAAAATGATCTAGTTGGCTTGCAAGAAAGATAAGATGACCTAGGTAAGGGTCATCTGAGAAAAGTGGCAGGATTTTCTAGATAAGACATTTGACATATGCATCCTCCTTTGAGAGACTTATTTTCAAATATTCAAAAAAAAATCACCTGAAAATATTAGAACACATTTTCATTCATAGGGCAGCAGAACTTGGTAACGTGTTTTTGAATCTTAGCAGCAGGAAGTTCCGTGGGCAAACGAGTGATCTGGAAACAGTTTCAGTGCTCTGAAAAAAAAATACAAAGTTTTAGTAATTTATTTGACTTCAGAGATGAAGGAAATATTATTGTAGTGGCCACTTTCAAACATCATTCACACAGTTCAACATTACAGTGAAATTTCCTTTGTGTATAAAACATCCGAAGCACAAGCTCATTATTTGCATGCACTCGACTAAATCAGAAGTAATGCTGGATTCCTCAGAATATCCTTCAAAGCCTCCTGCTGAAGATTCAAAACAGTAGTGGCTTGCAGCTGTACAGCAGGTCAAAAGTTTAATTTGACTATTAAGCAGTTTTATGCAGCATACAAGACCCACTGCCACAGCAATGATGCAAATCAAGGCTGATAGACACATTCTATTGTACGCAATACAGTCCTACTAAAAGGAAAGGAGAGTATCAGCACAAGCAGAGCAGAAAGGTATGCAAGATGTACTGTTTGCAAAAGAACTGCATTTGTCACATTCCCTTCGTTCCAGTCTTTGAGTAGCAATCATCTGTAACACTCGAGCAAGAAAGAGCATAAACCAACACTCACCTGCCACGTTTCAGGGACGCATCTTCTACTGAGACCAAGACTTAAAATGTAAAACAGAACTCGGAGCCTCTGCCTGCTCTGTGTTAAACTGGGTAATTCAAAAAAAGTCAGTATTTTCTCATTAAACAATGTCAAGATGTACTCTGGATCTCTCTGCGGTCACTTTTTTTTCCTCCATTGTCCAAAGACAGCTGAAATAATATCAAAAAGGATTTAGGAAGCAGAGGGGGAATCCCTGGACTTTTTAGAGATCCAATGAATATTTTCTAAGACTGAGCCAGTCTCTGGAAATAATTGTTAACTTGACTGTAGTTTTTCTTACACAAACTACATTCTCTTTATTAGCCTGTTGGTTGTTGAAAAGTAATATGATACAATATAGTGCAGAGAGCTCTTTAATTGCCATACAGTTGATTTTTTTTGAACGAGTTCTCTATAAATACAACAGATCCAGAAACCAAAAAGCTTCACCTGGTCTACTTTGAAATAAAAGCAAGCTTCAGCACTATTTTTGATGAGCTGTTTTCCTCTTGATGAGCTGTTTTCCTCATCACCATCTTTGCTAATTCTGTCAGCTTAGTTCTTCCACATAGGAGCATGTAGATTTCTGAAATAAGCCTACAGTACCCCAACAAGAGGCAGATGCTCACAAGTTTTATCACAGCATTCTTATTTCAGAGGTTTCTTTTTATTTATCTAGGGCAGTTTAAAGATTTAAATAATCTGTTTGCCCTCTCCCCTTATTTCCAAAAGCCACACGCTGTCTGGAATGAGGCCTGGATTGGCATAATCTGTTTTAACTAAAAGGTCACTATACACCTAGAACCTAAGGTCTGAATTTGCTTGATGAGATGTCTCCCTGGGAAAGAGGCAGGACAACTGAGATGGAAATCCTTCCTTGGGAAGAAAGCTGGAATGAATTGTAAAGATATTTTGGTTCTTATGGAATATTCCATACACAGGACTAGGGGACCCCAAATGCCTTCTACTGTCCTAGCCACACGGGTAAGCACCAGAAGAGAGTTCTTCACCAAAGGGTTGGCAGCAGATAGTCTCAGGTACACGGGAGATGGTGAGAGCAAACCACAGCATTGAGAACAGAACTGTGAGGATATCCGTTGAAGAATATTCCTGCTTACAGCAAATACTGGAAGCTTCAAAACACATTCATAATGGTTTCTAAGGAAAGGTTGTACTGACCAAGAGGACATCACAGCTACATGGTCTACAGAGTAATGACCAGCATAGGGAGAGCTGTATTTTCTAACTGCATTTAGATACTCACTTACGCTGTCCTCAGGCAAAGCTTCTGTAGAAGCACAAGAATTTATCTTGAAGATCAGCTGTAGTTTCATCACTAACAGGGTCTCATGTTGAATGCAGTCAGAACAAAGAGAAGGTGACCTGTAGGTCTCAAAAGAAAATGTCATTATTCTGGAGTACTTGCCTTTTCTATGAGCGTTGGTTTCCAGTTTCAGCTTCGGAAATTGAGACAGATCCAAACAAATAACATGTCTTTCTCATATAATCCTTTCTGGTCTGCACCCACTGCCTTCCTCTGCACAGAGGAAAGGTTAAAAACTCTGCCAATTCAACTGAAAAGGAGGGAGCTGCTTCCTCCCTGGTAAGGAATCTGCAAGGATCTGCAGGTGAGGTGAGTAAATACAGTTTGCACATTTGGGATAAACTGCTAAGTTTTAATTTAACTTGCCTTATCAGAGCTGCTCCACTCTACTGTTACAGCAGAACTTGACTGAAGGATCGGAGCCAGGGTTTACTAATTGCTTGGAATAGGCAGATACTTAGAAGGTTTTTACAAGCAACACAAGGAGGACTAGAGCCCTCCTCCTGGGGCTGAGGTGACACCAGTATGAAGAACTGGCTTTATGCTTCTAGAAGCGTGCTTAGATATTAGGCTTTTACACAGGCTTCATCTGTTTAATACCAGTAGTTTGTATACAAGGCCCCGTTTAGAAGCAGCTGCGGTATTTTTAGTTGTTTTGGCCCTAAGCAGTAGCCACAAGTAAGAGTTCAGAGAAGCTACATATTTATTCTTTTCTGTGTATCACAGTGCCCAATTAAACAAGGACAAAGGATTTCCTTATGTAACGGGGATACTATTTGTTATTTTTAACCTTATGGCAGCCAGGAGTTGCGCCAGGTGGCACTTTGCCTTAACCAAAAGCATGCAACTTCAGGAGGTTACATTCCCTACTGTCATTCTTGCCCTTCTAATTAATGTTTGATGCCCATACAAGGTTTCTTGGCTGTCTGCTGTCATGTCTATCTGCTAACATGTATTTCTGACAGCTCATGGAAAGATTGGTCTTATTTAACAAGGTAAAGCAGGGTGCTGGCCAGTCATTCCCAGCATCCTGCAAGAGTTTTCTGCTTCTATAAAGAGTGCTAGCTTTGAGAAACAAATAAAGCCAATTTACATGTGGTTATGCTACCAGAGAAACACCATGGTTGTAGTTTAAGCTTTGAATATGCTCAAGTAGCTCATAAATCAGTTTGATTAGTCAAATTCAACCCACAAAAAGCACATTTATACTCACCAGTATATATGATAAATACACCAGTTGCAGCCCTGAGAACCCAACGTGAGCACCAAGGTGCAGGAGGGCGTCAAGCCACGTGCCGAGTATCCCACCAAACGCCACCACTCTCCTGGCCAGCTCTGCAAGCCACATCATGGCACGGGATTTGGGAAATTTCATGGAGCTCAGGAAAGCAGAGTGGATCCAAAGGAAGCTGCCAGCGCCTGGAGAGGGAAACACAACAACTTGGAAGAGGATATGGAAGCATTCAAAGCCCTTCTGTGGGCCCGAAGCAGCCCAAGCACAGGCCATTATTTTCACGATGCCACAGCCAGGACTGGCTGTTTATAAGCAGGTGAGAGTGACGGATCGCATGGCCGGAGGCTTGCGGATAACACCGAACACTGGATAAAACGCACACGAGACCCCAGTGAGAACACATGACTGCTGGAACAGCAAAGGGCTATGTAAGAGTTCAATTATCTATCCCATTTCTTTAAAAAAATCAGAATATTTAAAGCTATATAAAACTGAATTTCACCTTGATGTGTAAACAAGGCTGAATGGAAATGACCTTTAATTAGGTGATTTTTTTTTTTTTTTTTAAACACAATCCCCCTTCTTTCAGTATCCAGGTTGGAGGCCTAAAGAGGTAGAGTTAAAATTCTTCTAGCAACTTGTATAAACGTCATATTTCTTGACCTTTAAGTATTTGTTTTTGAAACCTATTTAACTTTTTGATGTAGGTGTGTTTGTGGGTTTCATAGTGGAATGCCAAAAATTTTATGCATGTAGGGAAAAAAATAAGTGCAACTGTATGACTATTCTTCTGTTTTTGTCCGAAGGTCCCTCCCTCTGTAACACCAGCCAAACTCTCCTAGTAGCACAAGCATCTTATTCAGCTTTGTTTTGACGTAGAAAGATAAACCACTGTGTTCTTTGGCCTCCCCCACCTTTTATTCATTAATTTAATTGAATTTAGTATTCCCCTTTTTTGCAGGAAAAAAAGTATTTTAAAAATAATTATTTTGACCATCTTAAATTGTTACTATGCATCTTCTTATGAAGAATTTAAAATTGAATGTAATTATAAAACACTGCTAAAAGAAGCTTATCCTACAACAGCAAAAATATTTAATTGTGTCATTGTATGACTGGAATCACTGTATACAACTAATATCCCTATTTGGAGGACAGAAATAACTAGCTCATTCAGCTGTACAGAAAGGAAGACATAAAAGGAAACCCAAGGCTAAACCAGCACAAACCACTGGAAAGTTTTATGTCAACAAAACTGGATTTAAATTAAGTAACATCAATTCACTATTTTGGCTATAAACGAATCAGAATTTAAAAAAAAATGTTTTAAGGGAACACTTGTGATGAAATGTCTGTGACCAGATCCTGTGCCTAATGAAGTCAACAGGAAGGTTCCTACCTATTTCATCCTTACATGATTGAATCCACACAGTAAAGTTGTATCTGTAGCTTTCATAATACTTCATAGATGTAGATTTTCATAATGAGAGTAATGCAGGAGTTACAAGAAAAACACTGAATAACTTATCAGTTACGCACTATGAAAAATAGAACATGTGATAACCTAATTAGAGGTTGCATCATACTATATATGCATGATGGAACAAAATTAAGATTACACAGATTATTTTCATTCTTATATTTTCTCATTTTATGAATGACTGACTTGACAAATTTCGCTTATCATTGGTTTTCATTTGCAGAAATGTGATTTTAATGTTTGTGCCTTTGTTTTATTCAATGCCAAGAGTGAAAAAAAAAACCCAAATCCCGAAGAAGTTAATTTCTAAGCTAGCTGAATGATGTGAGATGCATCAAGAGTCACCTTGTTTATAAATTAACAGAAATGAAGCAGAGCTATTCTGCAGTGGGAGTGGAAAAGGAAATAAACTACACATTCAGCAGCTACAGGATATTCCTTCTAAATACAGACACAGAATTCACTAACTCAGTAATTTTACAATGGGGATAACAAATTAAAATCGTGGGCAGACAGCGGAGAACCTTGAAGATATACAATCCATAGTAAAGACCAGCCAAACTAGGGAGAGCTTTTTACATTGTCAGATTTTGAGTAATTAGTAGTGCCATTAGAGGCACAGCTTCAGCTTTAAGCAATTTTGAGTAATTAATGCTTCTTTATTTTGCCTAGAAGTCCTGACTTCAGCATTCTCTTAGGATATGAATTTTCCTAGTCAGAACTCCATAGTACAAATGAACCCAGCTAGAAGACAATTAGAGTAGGCAGATGAAGATATAATTTGTTGGTCTGTACACACTATTTCTTCTAGGCATAGATCTAATTTTTATTAGCACAGCAGACTGATTTAAGTGGATGCATAGTCACGATTTTGTCCTTTCTCTATCCATAGGATTGCCTATGCTGCACATGCCATGAGATCTGAAAATTCAGAACAACCAAATACAAACCAAAGTGAAGGCTGTAACAGGTTACATCTTTCTGCATTGCTAAGAGCAGCTACAGGAATCCAATAAAGGTAATGACACACTTTAGAATTTAAAATAAACCACGGAGGAAATCTTGTTATCTTTACTCATCACGCAATGCAAATTCCTAGATTATAATGCCAAGCTGAGCAGGAAGCAGAAACTGCCCAGGTGACTATGGAAGAGACTGAGTTTAATTGCCAGAGATGCTATCATATTTGCACATTGTGTTGGGTAAAATGCCTGAGTCCTCATCTGCACAGTGGGCCTAACAATCCACACCTCCCTAGAGGGGGCTTTCGTGTTTCATGGGGGGTGTCAAGATGACTTCTTTACTAGCCAAAAAAACCCAATTTTTCAGAAGTAAAAGATCGAAATGTCATCAAGTTTAAGACTATACTTAAAATGTTTCACATAAAGCTTTGAAATCCAAGAAACATACAGTAACAATATAAAGCAGAAGTTTTACAAGCCCATTACATACTTTCTAGACACCAGTGACATCTGGACAGTACCACACACTAACAAACATGTAGCAGATGACACCTTCTTTTTCTGACAAACTCACCTGTAGTAACTATTACCTTTTAAGTTTTCAGCTTCCACATTTTCCAGGGGTGTTGGAAGGCTGATGACTGTTCCCTTCACCCAGGAACTGGCAGCACTGAAGTGAAGGCTGGAACCACAGCGGAGGGAGAGAGCAGAGCAAGATCCTGCAGAGATCTTACATAACTGCACTTGAGAGGCTCTACTTGTTCTCCAAATATTATTGTTCACATTGACTCTAGATTAGCAGTCCTCACATGTTTTTAAAAGTTGTAAAAAGAAAAACTAATGATCTAGAACTCAATTGATCTAGAAAGTCTGTTTTTACAGTTTGTCAACATTTGCATATGAACTAAAGTACAGAAAATGCAAAGCATGATGAGTATGTCAAACTTGACAATAAAGGTTCTCATCTTCTCTGCCTAGATATTGCTTTTACAACCCTTATTACAAGGCTTTTGCAAAGAATGACTGCAATGTCTTTGAGTTTTTGATCTACAATCCGTATTGACTGCACAATGCAGAACCACATTTTTGAGTAACAGAGAAAGCAAAAATAGTAATTTCCAAATACCTAAGAGATATCTAAGAATAATCTTCTGACTGCTCAGATGAAATCATAAAATCACAGAAAGAAACTCTGGAAACTTCATCCCTTAGAAATCCCTTCTTCCTGAGCTGGAGAGAAAAAAATGCATCAGCTTTTCCTTACTGCGACAGCAATTCTTCTCCAGTACATGTTCTCAGACATAAAATACAAGTTCAAAGACCTTTTGCTATTTAGTGTCAGTATCACATCCTTTTATTACAGATTCTTTCATCCAGCTTTCATACTGGCAGCCGTTTTATATAGCTTTGGGTCTCAGAAAGACCCTTCCAACTAGTAACCTTATACTAGCAATAGAAAACGGGAAAGGAAAGGGGATGGAGGAAGAAACATCCCCAGAACATAAACTGGTGGCCACAACATCGAGGTGATCCTTCATCTGAAGGCACTCAAGCTTTGTGACAGTGCATTTCCACCCCAGACTTCCTACCTTTCTGTCATCGGTTCTCCTCACCTTACCCTGGTAACTCTCCACTCTCAGCACCATCTCACCCAACACTCCAGGATGCTCTGCCAAACCTTCTGCACATCTTCTTCGCTCCTGCATCATATCTGTGCCACCACCTTTTCCACCTCTTTGGAAAACACTGTTTCATCACTGTATTCACCCTGTGAGGAAAGGGAATCTACAGCCCACATCAACCCTTTGCCCCCAAGCAGAACCGCTGGCAGCTCCACAGCCACAGATCAGCCACTTCTGCTGTATTTTGCTCACTGATGAGTTAATCTCCTTTACAGTAATTGCTTTAGAGTAGGGCATGCTGGATCTTTCATCCTTTTTGGCTAATGCATAAGTGTTACTAGCAATATTGTTTCTACTTTTAAAAATTTGTGGCACTTCACGGCTCTGAAGACTGTCACAATCACTCAAATGCTTCTTATTTAAAAATTTGGCTTGTTTATCATAGACCCTTCCCACCACCACCCATTCAAAATAAAGTCATAATTCCCAAGGACAATAAGTCTTAAAATAATACACAGTTCATACACTTATTAATAAAGTATGAACTTATTTTTGCAGAAACACTAAAGAGTAAGGTCAAGAATGCTGTTCAAACACAAGTTTTATTAAATAAGCCAGTCATCCAGCTTCTGAGTAATCAATGTTCTTGGTCTTGAAAGTCTCATTCTCAACATGTTCATTGGAAGCAAATGCCCCATGTCAAAGCAAATGAACCAAAATGAACTTTTCAGGACAATAATTATAAGAGAAAGACAAAAATGTAATATTGGCAGACTATACACAAGAGGCTGGATATACACAGTGCTTCTCATCACAGTGTCAGTTTAGGTACAATCACATGATTTCAATACATACTTTCCAAAGGTTTCATCTATTCTCAGCTGTACATTATCTGAATACCTAAACAATTGCCATAAAGCTCTTGAAAACTTTAATATAAAAGGACCCTTACACAGCTGACAGTATCTCCAGATCACCACTTAAAGCACTAATAAGCAACTGCGTTATACAACTCGTGTTCAACAGCCTGAAAATGATCTTTCCCAAATCCAAACGACATGCTTCTGAAGCTGGAAGTGACAGATTGCAGCTGGCTGAGCTAGCACTGTACCGTGCTCACTGCAAAAGCTGCCATTCCTGAAGAACCTCCCGCCTTTCGGGCGGTTGCTATAGTCTTAGTAAAAACTGCAAAGCTCCTCTCATTTAACAGTAATTGCGTAGAGAAGTAGAAAAAACAACAACATGAAAAAACAGCTGATTTTTCGAGACATTTAGTAAGATTACCCTTAATCAAAATAGCATGTCTATGATGCAAAGATGAGGTTTGGTTTTGACGTCACTGTAGCACATGATAAACAACTGTAATTGGAAAAGAAAATACAGAGTTCAAAGCTTAAAAATTTAGTATTAAGATTCTTTATGAAAACATGTCTTTGCAATTAATTTTTAGTATCCGTATGTGATGCTCTATCCTCGTCTCCACCAGGAAGAGCAGGCTCAGGACAGCAGTTGCAGAACCTGGCGTATGCGCTCGCTCTTCTCCTCTAGGCCTGCAGCCTCCGCATCAGAATCGTCGAGTTCTTTCATGAGGGCTTCAGCTTTCTGCACGGTCACGTCTCGCGCGCTGCCTTTCAGGCCCTGCAGATAATCCAGTAAGATGGAGAAATACTCATCTGGAACCTTCAAGGAAAAAAGAGACAAAAAATATATGTTTTATTTTCTTCTCTCTCAATACTCCACAATCCTGCCGAATGATCTCCTGAGACTACTATGGAAACAGCCAAGGCTTTTGCATCTGTCGTTGCCCACCACTGAGCACAAGGGCTCTTGCCAACGTGGAAGCTGCTGGGAGGGCCAGGCCATCAGGACAGGACTGTCACATGCTCCGACGGGCAACAATTCCAACAGCAAATTCTAAACAGATGTGGAAACGTTGAGCAGCAAATGCAAACACTCCCTGCGTATGATCTCAAGCCTTTAAGGATGGCTGGAAGTTAAGAAGCACTAACCAAATCCTCCTGAAGTCAAGTGACAAGAGCATGCATGTGTTTAAGGAGAGAATCTGGCTGGAAGTATCCGAGAAAGCCAGAGATTCTCCTCCTCATCCCTACCCAAAATTATTTGCTTGCTATGATGAGATACCACTAGCAAGCTATAGCTAATGAGTCTGACAAAATCCTTGTACGAGAGGATAGAAGCAAATTTGAAAAATTAAATTCAGGCATATGGAAATAATTTTAAAATCATATTAACTTGATAGGCCCTCCTAACCAAACATGTCTAACATTAAAAGCAGTTTAGTCACTTATAAATGCATTACCCCTGCCTTTCACTTCCTTTCTAATTACCTAGTAAGAGGTTACATTTTAGCTTAACTGGTCCAATGTACAATTTAAATAATCATTACATTGAATTTATCTTGGCAATAATCTAGCAAAAATTTTTGGATGATTTATTTGCTACTTTAAAGCATAAGCCAGTGTATTTTAAAGAGTGTTAACTGAGCAGATCTACAACACAGCCTATCTTAACTCTACTTTGAGTATCTGGGGAACACGTTTCAATCAAAAAAGAGAATATTTCTTCAGTCAATCAGGAGATATTAAAATCACCTCAGCTGGCAAATATTTTCCTCCATGTTTCACTTCACACACATAATTTTAAAAAGCCTTATCAACAAGATTCAAGTCAAACACATACGCAAGTATTTAAAGGACTGGAGACTAACTGAGGGCTGTTTTGATTCTGCAAACTATTAACATTTCAGAGAGGGCAGAACTTCAATAGATAGTTAATTTACAACTTATTTCTCCATCAACATTTGGCAGTGTAACTTTGATCACCAAAACTTCTATCACTCCCAAAGCAGAGGGAGAAAGAACCTTCCAATGCTGCCAAGACCCATCAGGGATATTACAAAGTAGTAAATCAAAACTGAAGTCTACACTCAGCCTTAGAACTTAAACGCTATAGAAAACCTCCTAATTCTTCCAAGGAATGCTCTCATGTAATACAGATAGTAAAAATAAGGATTTCATAGTATAACTGAAGTTGATTATACATTAAATGTTGCTGTAATACACCAAACACACGGAAACATAATGAAAATGATTATATTTTTGAAACCCTTCCTACTCATAGTAAACTGGTACCAATAACACAAAATGCTCAGACACAAACAAGTTCAACAGTGCCCAATTAAACAGTGAGTCCTGGATGTTTAAAGCTTGACAGCATTTCAGTATTCAATACCCTAGCCAAATTATCTACCTAATTTATGCTCCTTTTTCTTAGACCTCATGATATAGTCATATCTTACTGTGCAGAATTGCAGTTATTAGTGTATCACTTAAGCAAAGTGCTTAAAGGGGCAATTAAAAGCCTACTCTACACTTCGAAAGATTACATTTATAGACAGACATGTGGCTGCCTCAGGCCAACAAGCATTTAGTGTTGATCCTCAAGCACAAGTGCTTAAAAAGTCTGGTTTTTTCTTTTCCTTTAATGCAACAATTTAGCTTATTTCAACAAGAGCATAAAAACAGTAACATGTAGACAAGGGTACCATATTTTCTCCTCCAAACACAATAAGGTCATAGCAGGGGCTGGGCTCTTGTCTCCTTCCAAACAACAGCAAAAAGTTAATGGGATTAAGATTTTAATTCTTAAATACAGTACTGCAAGAGCTGAAGTTTCAAGGATTCTTGGTGAGGTCTTGCTTGAAGGAGCACAACCTTTCCCTAAGATGAGCTCTTGAGGAGGCGTGGAATTGCAATATCAAGACCTTCAACCATGGCTCTGGAAAGTAGAAGTGATGCTTACTGGATTTTTTTTTTTAATAAAAATAATAATAAAAAAACCTTTTTTTCTTGCTTCTCTTGTTTCTTTTTCCCCCTTGCATCCTAACTAGCTAACACACCTCAGACTTGACTGAAATGCAAGGACTGAAAACAGAAATGGTTACTGACAGCTTCTCAATGCTCAGCAGCTAAGTGCCACTGTGAAGGAGGAGGAAAACCCAAGAAATAGCAGGAAAAGGTCACCTATCTCTCTTAAAAATTACACTGCATACCTCAAAGGCATTTTCACATTGGCAGAGGCCCACATATTTTGCAAAGCAAATACAGCTACTGGCACAGAGAACAAGCTTGCTTTGCAGGTACCATTCTGTGAAGCTTCAGGGGGTGCAGTGCAGAAGCTGGAGACAACTGATACAGTCATTTCCTACAGATGCTGTGCCAAATGACTCTCAGATCAACAAATGATCTAGTGTTTATTTTATACAGGATCCTGAAGAAGTATATTCACTGTAGGTAGACAGACTTGGCTCTGTAACTGTCAGCCAATTAGGAGATGGATTTTAAAGAGACTTAAAAAAACAATGTTGTAAAGGACTGTTAAATTTAAAGAATTTCATCATATTTCTTACAGAAAATGGCATATCGGTTTGGGAAACTTAATATACCCCTTCGCATGGCCTTTCAGTAGGCATGCAGGTGACATCAAAAGATCAAAGATACGGCTTAGGAAGGAAAGAAACTTGTATTTCCTTTTGTATTGTAGTCACGCTCGGATATCCGACAGATTTTACTCAGTAATGGACAGGAAGCTGGATCTGGGTATGAAAACACATTCAAAGAAGCCTGTCTGCCCTCACTGCAGTCCTGATGAAGGAAGAGATTTTATCACAGACTTAACTGTAAGCAGTTGAGTAGCTCTGCTAACTTTACTGAATCTAAATGCAGATGTTAATCATTATTTAAGGTTCAGATTCAAGGTATCTCATCCTATTAAACGGTAAAAAAATATGAGAATATAAATAAACCATCACACTCTCAATAGATTTAAAAATAAATCTGGAAAGGAAGGTGCTCATTTCAGTGTTGAGAAACAAATTTAAGTTATGCATTGATACACAGACCCACTGCAAAGGAATGCTAGGGTTAATTATTTCCCAGGATACATTAAAACAATCACGTAAAGTGAACAGGTTAAGAAACCAACACAATCATTTTGGTTGTGAACCAATTTCTAGGTAGCTTTGAAGAGCATATGTGAATTCTTAAAGGTTGGCGTACACTTTAAAAGAAACAAACAAACAAGACAGCACAATCTACATACCTACATCAGATTTGTATTCTGTGACTAATCTTTTCAAAGTATTACACTGTGTGAATATCTTTGCCTTCATGAAGCTCTGTTTTTAATTATATGGTTCTCTAAACATATTTCTAATCGTAAAGGTAACACTGTATGTCAGGTAGCTGGATTAAGAAGTGCTTAATTACTTGGGTCAGAAAAATTGTTACGCTTAAATGTTTAGACGCAAAAAAACCATCAGCAAAAGCTGACTGAATGTCAACTAAATGCATCGATAAATGAGCCACGGTGCAAAGGGCTAGATGGTTTGTTCTATTACGTAGCAAAATGAATGATCTGAAACCCTCCATTCAATACCATGAAGGTCAAACCTTTGAGGGAAATTAAGTCTATGCTGTTTTCTGAGTTATGAAATCAAAGCTTTTCAGTAACACGGCCAGTCTAGCTTCTGATTTTCCTTTTTGCATTTAACATTGATATATACTTTCAATTAGATTCACTCATATTTTAATGAGAAAATTATTTTACAATCTTGCCAGTATGGTGCCATCTTGCCTGGGGACAGTGATATCTGAAGCAATACGAGCTACCAAGAAGTCACAAGTTAGAGTTGACAGCACTGGGTTACAAATTCAGAAATTCAAATTAAGGACAACTCAGACACATTCTCAGGAAGCGCCAGATTTATATTTAACACAAACCATCTCCATTTATATTCAACATACAGCATTGGGTATATACAGCATACCGCATTGGGTATATTCAACATATAGCATACAGGTATAAAAATCTGTGTTACAGATCATCCCTCAAAATAAAAAGATTAATTTCCAACAGTTAAAATGACTCATGCTTTTAGTTTAAAAATATAGCAATCGATTTATAAATTATTAAAAAAAAAGTGCAAGGCAAATACCAACAACTTTGGGTTAATAAAGGCTAGTTATAACTAATGCATTGAACTTTTTATTGCCAAGTGTTGAGAAAAAGGAGAATGAATACAAACCTTCTCCTTGTCATACATGTGCAAAAGAAGCCACGTTTGTCTTGTCTTTTGAAATTTCCATTCTTCTGGTTTCTCAGACCAGCTGCAATAAATCAAAGAAGAAAAAACACAGCTTAAATAGCCTGATGAATATATTCACTCTTCATTACTCATTTCACATAATTCCTCCAGCAGCTCTGCATGTGCCATACTGAGCTTCCTAATGCTGTGCTAAAAAGGTATTAGCACACGTCTTGTGCAGTGGCAGAAAAGGCTACCCAGCTTCCACACAAAAAGAAAGTTAATATTTACCAATTATTTTAAAATCATAAGAAATCTAAAGGACTGGAGAGACTCAGGGTAGAACATGCACCTCACCAAGGGTAAAAACACATCTTGGGACACGGGCAATAAAGTGTGAGCCCTCAAAACAGCTTCCTCCACAACAAATAAAGTGTTGACTGTTTCGGAGCAGAGAAGTTTCATTTTTCAGATATATTTAAGGCTTGGATTTATCTCAAGGTGCAACTTAAATGTTGAAGTTTAGTGCCTCACTCTTCCCCGGAATTGTGATTCCAATATCCAGCTCCAAACTTCAGCTGCTTCAATCCTGTTACAACTGAATGCAGAAAACAAATGACTAACATCTGCAAATGTTCTTTGGCTGTTCATGAAACACATTTTAAAGTATGCAAAGTTTTAGCTGGCTTAAATTGGCAAATTTACATATAGCATGAGGGTAAGTTGAAAGCAGGTGTATTTTGTTTTAAGTGAAGAGACAAACATATTTAGTTCCATAAATGAAAGAGTAAACTAACAAATCTTACCATATAAAACATACTTTTTTTTTCCTAAGGGTATATGTATAAAAAAAATAGTGCTTTAAAATGTACAAGATTCTGTCAAAACAATGAAATAATATTTAAACATCCAGCAAAAAGTATGAGAGAAAAAAAAAAACAATCAAAAAACCCCATAAATTTTGTACTTATTTGATTTTCCTCTGAAGAAAAACAAGTCTCCAGAGAGTGGGATGTAAGACATCTGTCTGTACCATTCCAGCTTGTTTTATACAACAACAGAAAGGCAGAAATCAATTGAAAAGCCAGCTGGGTGTGAGAATTAGTATTGTTTAAACATTGTCAAGTCTAATAAAGCACAAGAGTGCTCATATTCACAGACGGCTGCACCAGCAAATATAACGTTCAGTCAGTTCAATGAAATAGGAAGAACACGACTGCATGTTTCTAAAGACCAACACACCAGCCTCTGCAGAAAGCCTAAAGGGAAAAACAAGCAAACAAAAATCCAGTGTTTTCTTAATAAATCTGGGTAAGAAAAAGCCTACCTAGCAGCCTGCCTAGCAGCATCAGCACTAAGCAAATGCAATTAAAAACCTCTGTAGCCAAAATATAAGGTAAATGTCAGATAAATAATGGTAAACCAGAGAAGATGGACCATAGCCAAAATATGTAATATTTTACATGATGAAGGATAAATCAAAAAAAACCCAAAACAAAAAACACCTTGCACAAAAGCAAGAGCTCCAAAGCCAACTACCAAAAGTTATAGAATCAAATTAAAAAAAAAAAAAAATCTAAAGCCAAAAACAACGTGTCCTGTTGCAAGGACATGTAATCTGTTGGTGCCTGCTGTGTTACAGTGCTTGTCTATAGCACAGAAGTTGCAGTGTAGTACTGCAACCTACAGCAAAACAAGGGGAAAAAAGGGACTTTCTTGCTGGTAGTTCACGGGCCAAAACACTTGCTGGTTTGATGCAATTTCTCCGGATAGCAGAAACTTGGCTCTCAACTGTGAGAGGCTGGGATTTCTGCAGGAAGCGGCTTCTATTAGTTTTTAGAAAAGGGTGCTCGCTGTTAAGAGAAACCTAACAGATTCCCCTTCCTAAACAGGGGCAGGAAAGCTTTTATAGGAAACACAGGAATGTACATTTGCACAAAATTCTTTTTACACCAGATAAGCAGGGCATAGTTTGTATTACACTTTTTACAATGCAAAAAGAGCAAGTTGAATGACAGATCTGAGATTGCCCCCTGAAAAGCATTCTTCTCATGAAAATCTCTAAAATGTCTCTGTTTCTGTAATCTCCACTATGTATTATACATTTGCAAGTTGTATCTATTCCATACATTAAGCTAATCCTACACAAATCTCTTGCACAAATTTATTCCCAAAGCATGGTTGAGTTGTGCCATCCCAACTGCTCAACACAAGCATAATGTGTCCTTAAAAGGCTTTTCTGTCAATATATTGACAGAAAAGTCATTTTTGGAGATGTTTTAGCATGAGTAGACACACAGAAGAAAACTGTCAGCGTACAAGGCACAGCATTCCCAAAATACTCTAGGAAAAAGAAAGGGGGAAGGGAAAGCAGTCAAATTGGTTCCAGAAACACAGCAAGAAAAAAACATTATCATTACAAATTAGATTCAGAAAGACAATAACATATCTGTTTAGACTACTGCCCAGGAGAAAACATCATAAAGCTGCCACAATTATTAAATAATATCCCATGTGTAGGCAAGAACTTTGCTGAGAAACAGCCATTTAACTCATACAAATCATCTGAAAAGATTGTTGGGTGCGAGAGAAGTCTCAAGAAACCAGAGAGACAGACAAGTGACTACTAATGAGCAGGAACGTTCCTGAGAGCACTATTTGCTGCAAACAGTTTTAGCCAGAACACTGCACTCCATCCAGCTTTGTGCCATTTACTGTCCCGCACAACTTCTGATGCGTCTTCTAGGATGGGTATCTGTCCAAGGCAAAGCAGGTTCTGGAACAGAGGGTTGACTTTTCCAGCCATGACTAGTACCCAGGACACCCTCTGAAAGGTTTCTTTAGCCCTTAAGACCAGGTCACAGCAGAACTTCCACTCCTGTGATTTAGCCAGAAGGAACCTGATGCCTTTTTCTCACAAGTTTCCCTGAATCCTACGAAGAGGAATGGACCAAAAGATCTGTTCATTACACCACATTATGAGCTACATTGCAAGAACATAATAAAACTGCTAAAAATCAATGTTCTGTAACACTGCAAAAAATTATTACATTCTTCACAGCCCATTTACCCAGGTATTTTTCCATTTTTATACACTTAGTTATTAATTCTAGTGAAACTCATCTTTAATAACCACCTGTGTTCTCCTAAGTGTCCTACATAGGAGGCTGAGCAGAAGGGAGGGTGCTTGGCTAAGGCTTGCAGGAATCAGGTTAAGCCTTGTGCTCCCTCGGCGCTCTGCAAACCAGGCAGCACAGGCCATCTCTGTGCTCAGAGCTCCATCAGAAAAATGTGGATAACAGGTGTTTCCTAAATAAAGTACAATCATACTTTAAACAATTCCCTGAAAGGTATTTAAAAGCTTCATTCAACACTGATGGAAGTTCTACACAAGCCCTGTAATGAAGATAATGCTTTAGGAGTAATATTTTTTTTCTGTCCAGTTGTAACACAGAATTATTTAAAGGGGAATGTACAAGTGTTTGTTTTTATTGAGGGTATTCAGTCTTTCAGGACATTTAAAATCCATTTCAAATATCCAAAATTATGTTCTACCTAGATTGCTAAAGACTTGACTGGGATGGTCATAGTTGAAATCTGACTTAGTTCCTAAGGTTTTCCTTATCTGCCTGGATAAGAAGGCATTGATTAAGATCTTTTACCAGGAATAAAACAAAAAGAACATGTTATAAAATTGTCAATAGATTTTAGAATCAATGTCACAATTTTGGCAGAACAGCTATCCTGGAACCAATTTGGAATGTGTGGTTTCAAAACAATTTTTCAATTTATTCTTCCATCTGGTTTAGACATAGGATAATAACTAAAGACTTGTGAAAAGACAGGAAGAAAAACACTTTTTTTTTTTTTTAGTTTAAGGAACAAGCACAAAAAGAAAGAAACATGCTAATTTCTGGTATCTAATTTTGTCCTGATGTCCAACATGAGGACAGAATGTATGCCTACAGAAAATCAAAAGGGCCACAGAATTTTTTAATAAAGTATGTACACAGTAAAAAAGGAAAGACCTATATACCTTAAAGCAATAGTATGACTAAATCTACATAAAATGTTCATCACAGCATATCTTTTCTTATGTGTACTTTTATGACTTGCCATTATTTGTAGCATTTTGTATTATGTTTGCATCCTGAAGCTCCAGCCAAAATACAATTTCCCCTCCTCCTTCACTGTTCAAAAGCAACATGAGACAGATCCTTCAAGCACTTGGAGTATAAACAGATGAGATTGATTATGTGGAAAGCTGACCCAGAAAACTGTAACAATGGCTCAAAATCAAAATCATATACACCAGATTATCAATAGAGCTTATATCTTTTACCTACAGTGTAAGGTATGTAGTACATCTCAACCAACCTGCAACTGCCACCAGCATTCCACTGGGGAAAAAAATCTATTTTTAAAAAAATTCCTTTTCTAGCAGTTATTTAATTACTGGTATCTGTGGTAGCCTGTCTGTAACAAAACTGTATTTTGATCTGAAAATATATTTAGCACTAAAAATGCTATTTTTAGAATAGGTCATCAGTAGGTAAAGCTAATACATACTATGCTAAATATGCTTTTTTATTTCACATAAACTTTCTCCCTTCTTTTATAAGGGTAATTATCATAGAAGAAAAGAGATACAAGCATTTCAGAGCCAATCTGTTCTGCTCCTGCAGTGCATGTACTGTAGCCCAGCGCTGTGTTGCAGCCCATCTCCTCTCCAGATGTCCATCTTCCCTTGCACTTCATTCTCATCAGCCCAATGGCTAGACCAGAAATAAGGGAAAGAAAAACTGAAAACAACTGTTTTGCCTCCCTCCCATGAAGAACATCCTGGGGGGTATGAGGAGGTAGAGGGGGCCCCATGGTCTGTATGAAAATCCTGTAACAAGCCAGCTGCAGTAAAATCGTTTACAAACGCTGGCAGAAATCCATTTATATAAACACTTTCTGATGATCAGATGAGGGATATGCTACCAGACCTCAGAAAAGCAAATAGGGCCGTTTCTCTTCTCTTCTGTCTTACCATTATACCACATAATGTCTAACTGTGGTGCAGAATACTCCTGCCAG